GAGTGTCAAAATTAATGACGAAATTAATTCGGTCACTTTTTTTTGGTCAAATCAAAGGTCAGGTCACCAGAGGTAATGGAAAGCCGAATTTCACCGATTTTCAGGTCGAATGTCGACGATTTACAACAAGCCAACGCATAACTTGGCATCAATTTTCTCCTATTGACTTATAATGGGGGGGGGGGTCACAAAATTGACCTGACCTTAGGTCACCGATATCAAAATTCCGAGATAGTTATTTATTTAAATTGTGTACATATTGTTGCGGCGTTGCCCTTATCAATCGCTGAGAGTTTCAAAGAGGTCGGTCCAGAAAAGATGCATGATAAGGTGTGCCAAAAACAGCCGCCGTTTTTGAGATGTTCGCGAAAAACCACAGGGAGGGTTCAAATATCCCCACCCCCACCCCCACCCCCAGCAGGGCGCGGGATAATATCCTTGGCATTCAGTACCATCGTATTTCCTGATTCTTCTACTTGCGATTGAATGGCAAAACTGCCTCCACCCTCCCGAACTGCTATGTGCTTGTGTAGGAGGGCATCGAGGGCAGAGAAGTGTTGTCAGCGCGTCTTGTAGAATGTAGATTTCAGAATCTGCTCGGCTGGCTCCACTTCGTAGACGACGGAAGTTAGCAATACGTACATTGTGCTACCTGTCCTGCGGCCGGCTCCACTGCGCTTGATATTAATCTCTTCTGTAGATACTGGCTCCGCTCCTTCTACAACCAGCGCGTCCGCAATGTTGTTCCACAAATTCGCCCTTTTCACCGCTTCCTTATAATATTTATCTTTTTTATTATAAAGTCATGGATATTTTCCAACCAATGAAATGAATTTCTCATTTGAAAAGGCCATGAGTCATGTGAAATACAAAAACCACTCCGTTTGAGATGCAAATGTTTTGAAATAAAAATGAAACGCCGTCAAATTTACGCTTGAATTTCATATTCTCGTGAAAAATCGCGAGACTATTAGGGCACCGTTGGTTAAATTGGTCCTGTAGCGCTGAAACATAACATTATTTCCCTCGTGCCTTAATTTCATATCACAAACGGTGGCTATCCGGCAAGGCAAAAGTTGAGATGATTTCAACTTTTTGCCGGACCGGAAAATCTGGCTCTCCGGCCTGCCGGACCGGTCAAAAGAAGTTGCCAGATTTGCCGGTTCACACCAGTTTTCAATTTTCCGGCACGGAATTGGCCATTTTTCCGGCCCGGCAGACGGAATTTTGCCGGTACGGAATCCGGTGTGAACCCGGCATTACTGACGGCTTAGACTCTATTCAAGTATATTCAGAGCTCTGCATTAGCTCACTTTTTCTGCTGTCAATGCCACTACAAATGCCTAGTCGGCGCACGTGCGCTTGTCGAGCGGGGACCACCAGTCGGGCGATTCGGAGCTGCCGCCCAATCAGAACGCCGCAATGCCGTGACGTCATTGGTCGCACACGACACGTTACGGAGATAGGGATGAGACAGCCCTGGATAAGTAGAAGAAACACATAATTCACTCGATTTTCTGAGCGCGAGAATGCCCTCGCTGAAATTTATTTGGTCGGCAATCCACTTTTCAGGAGAATTCTTCAAGCATGTTTGTGTTTTCCATAGTTTGCTATCACGTTTTCCATAAATAACTTATTCATTACACATATGTGTGTCTCTAAAAGAAATAAATGCCCCATAAAAATTAAAACACATAACTTTTGCTGTTCGCAAACAGTACGCATAATTTCCAATAGCGACGGCGACAAGACATTGACCAATCACGTTGCGTGTTTCCTGCTGGCGTTGATTTGTACTGTGGGCAAAATGGCGTGAATAGAATTACCATACTATTCTCTTTATAAGATTGCGTGAATAGGGTGCCGTAAATAGAGTGGGGTGGAATGATAGTACGCCATTTGGTAGCACAACCTTTATAAGATTGGGCCCTGTTGCGGTGTTTACAGAACCTTTTCTTGTTCTGTATAAGGAAAAAAAACGACTAGTAACTTTGGCCTCCTGCCCTCGCTCCGTATGAGTGTAAAATATATCTTAACCCGCGCCCCACTGGGGGGGGGGGGCTATTTATAGCCCCCCTCCCGTTTTTCTGCAATAACTTCCAAACCGCTTGACGTATCGACGCCAAACTTTCACTACCTTAGGCTGCATCAATTTGACACCTTGCGTCAAAATTTGAACTTCGTACCTACCAAAGATCGGCCGAAAATGACGTCAGAGTGACGTCATGTTCGGCCGATTTCGACGCAAAACATTGAACCACGGCAATCGCTCCCAAGAGCTCAGTTTTAAGCTAGATCCAATTTCTTTGCATGAGAGGACTCAGAATAGACTTCGCTATCAAACTGCTATCTCGGATTTTCGAAATTTTGAAAATTTCGAAAATTCTATATAATGAAATTCAAAATTTATATTTTTGCATTTTTTTCATTTTTTTGACTTTTCGAAAAAAGGAATATATGTGATAGAACACATTATTATCACTAACTCTAGCAAGTTTTGGCTAAATATCTTCAAAAATGGCCAAGTTATACGCATTATTGCAAAAAATAGCAATTATTAATTTTTCAAATCAATTTTTCAGCACGAATTTGATATCGTACGCCAATATAAATAGCAGCATCGTGTTCCTGAGCTCAAACTGCATCCAATAGACACCTTTTTTGTTGAAAACTTTTAACTTCAAAATTTGCCCTTTTTTGACCTGAAAGTGACCTGACCTAAGCTAAATTTAACTCAAAATGACCTCGAAAGACACAGACGACATCAAATTCGAAATGTTTGGCCTAAATGAACCATAAAACATGTGTCACGTGACCGACGGATGATATAATATTTTCGTGACCTGTGATGACCTGACCTTGACCTGAAAATCAAAGTACAAGTTTGGTACCCTCAGAGTATCTAGAGCATCTGTTCACGAGTGTGTGAACCAAAAATGAGCCTGATCTCACTTGTAAGACGGCGGCCAGAGCCCAAAACGTGAAGAATCCAAAATGATAATAATTTTCACTTTGACCTGACCTGTGACGTCATCGGTGACCTCGAGGTCAATGAAATTAGGTATCGCTCGACAGTTTTTTCGGGGCTATCAGACGCCGTTTGAATTTTGACGATCGGCCCAGTAGTTTCGAAGTTAGGAGGGGGGGCTATGAATAGCCCCCCCCCCCCCCCCAGTAGGGCGTGTTATACGCAGACCCCAGTGGGGCGCGGGTTAAATGGCTTAAGCATAAATGTCCAAAAATTTGCAACAAAGCCACGTGCGCAACCACGTGCTTTGCATATTTTATATATCTTTAATAAGCATTTATTTTTTGACACTTTTAGTGAAACACCCTGTAGAAAGGAAAAGGGTAATCGACTAATTTCGATCAATGAAATTAGAGATGTCAATCGGATACTTTTTGGCATACCGATACCAAATCGATACCAACTTGGTATTTGGTATTTCAATCTTAATGCACTTGGTATTTTGTTGGTATTATGAGCCCTCACTAATGTATAAGACGGCTGAGAAATTGGTAAAAAGTCGGTATTTCCCTCATGTTATGAAGTTGGTTCGGTATCGGTATTTCCTTACGATTTATGTTGGGATTTGGTTTGGTATCGGTATTCAGATGTTCTGTAATTGACATCACTAAATGAAATACATCAACTCAGTCTCAAATACTCACATCTCGTAACCTTTCGATGTCTGCAAAGAAGTTGTCGATGGTCTTTACGAGCTGGATATGTTGCTATCAGTTTGGTTTGAGCAGATCCCTAGCATCTTCGTCGTGTTGCATTGCACAGTGTTTTGATGAGCCCCAGGAGACAGACTGTGCCGTAATGCCACCGCCAACGGCCATAAACCCAACCAGCTCGGCACGACTATACCTTATCAAGTCGGCCGTCCCAGCATAGCGACATCCTGGGAGCACCGTCAAATGTGCTCCACTAGCACCGGTCAAATTACCCCGCATTGCCACTCTGAAAAGTTTTGTCTATAGAGCCGTTACGGTTATACGGAAATACATGAAATAACTCTTGAAAACGCTGAGCATCCTAAGCCGTGGGACCACAATGTTGAAATTTGTCTTTAGCCTGAATTCTACATGCTATACTATACATTTTTTTTTAACGGAAGTAAAAGTTACCATTTTCTAATCAATTTCATGTTTTATTGATTTTGAAGAAAATTACGAAGGGGACATTTTTGAAAAAAATTCACGCAATAGATTCACCAATGACACATGAATAGAGGCTATAATTTTTCCATTCACTTTTGTCAGATATCGTAAAGGTGGGGTGGGGGCGGCCAAATTATACTGCCGGCCAAATTACCCCATCCTCCTCTACATAAATGTTTTAGGATGACAGCAGGTGCTGTTTAGTTCATTTACAGTTGAGTTTCATTGTCAGCGACATCAGAAACGGTCCATATCGGAAAACGACAAAACTTTATACAACCGTTCCGTGCTTCTATCCAGTCAGGATACTGAAATCCTTCTCCTCCACGCCGAACCCCCCTCCGGACTGGACAGGCAACATTATCTTATCTTATGCGGGCTGCTCCCCTGGAGCGGCACCGCTGCTCCTGAGGGAGCGCACCCCGTAGCCGGGTGCAGTGAGTACCTTGGGGCTGGTCGGCCTGTCTTTCGGGACGGGCTCAGCCCCGGTGACTCACTAGGGTGCCTGCCCAGACCAATGTCTCCCCCTAATTCCTATCATCCTTGCGGCTCTGAAATGGTCTCGTCAGACCGAAAGGGCCTGACCCAACAAAACAAAAAAAAAACAAAAACAAAACTTTATAACGTCACTTTGGCATCATCTTTGAGTGCTACAACCACCAAACTTTCCTCAAATATTGCCTAGGTATTCATTTGAAGCTATGCCAAGTTTCACGTCGTTCGTAGCTCGAGATATTCTACAAAACGTAAAGGGGGAGGGGCAACTTTATGCCCCCAGTGGCTCGTGGGTTAACAATACGATGAACAATGCTCCGACCTTGTAACACATGGAAGAATAGGACATAATTTATTTTCAACCTGTATTAGTATCTACACAATACGCATGCATATGTATGTGTGGAATTTAGAAAAAAATGTGGAAACAGTCAAGCTTCAGTATGGCAAAGGGACGAGAATGCTTTGAACAGGGCTGCAGGATGTAGAAACATATACTAGGGCTGACTATCAAATGATGGAAGTGCCTTTAGCAATGATAGGATTTTGCACGTGCATGCACTTTTTAGTGTCATCACAGGCACCAACGTTCTTTTTTCCAATGGTGAAAACCAGATGTCTTTAGCTACATTCTGCTCTAAGCTACCACCGTTTTTCCAACAAACCACCTAAACCTGTGGCACGGCATAAAAGAGGAGCCGGGCAATAAACACACACAAAACGCGCGCCTGCGAGAGGCGCGATGTCATCAGAGCTCAACTAAAACACCCGGTAGTTACATTAAAGCTAGCTGAGGAGATCGTCCGTAACTCCGTAGCTTAGTTGGAAAAGTGTTGGGCTCCCGATGTGATAGAGCGATGTAGCCATCACCCACCCTCCCTAGAGTCTAGACAATCAGCTTAGCAATAACGTTTGGTCAGCCATGCGAAAATAACAATGAGTTAGTCGAGTTGAGTTTGAAACCCTAACTCTTCAGCTGGAGTCAAGTCTATGTAGAACGACGGCTACTCATCTCATATCGGGGCAATGTCATTGAGTGCTCTTGGAACAAAACACATCATCAGAACTAGGGCTGCGGAGTCGGAATCCGAGTCGGAGTCGGAGTCGGTCGGAGTCGGCAGTTTTGCCCGGAGTCGTAGATAACACTGCATGACTCAAACTCATGCCCTACACCTGGTTGCTTGACAATGTTTCGCTCGTTGACCTTTCAAAATCAGATTTTGTTGAAGTTAAGGACATACCCCTGTTTTGAATGAGCGTTTTCATTAAAAAAGCTTATGACGGCTGCTGTATCTAAACCTGCTTTTTAACACTATTTAAAAAAAAAAATCATTGCAATGCGAGGCCTTAAAATGCGTAATTGGTCACTTCAGGCATAATAAAAGATATCCAACATGAAATTTGATTTCAGTATATGGACTCCATGACCAATGTCCAGAGTTGGAGCTGGAGTTGGAGTCGGAGTCGGAGTCGGAGTCGGAGTCGATTTTTGAAGCCGGAGACGGAGTCGGAGCTACCTAGAAATCCAATCGACTCCGCAGCCCTGATCAGAACTGTCTTAGTTAGGGAGCGTTTGACACACAATCATATTTCTTCCGAGCGTGGTTGTCTCTCCCAAGGTGCGAAGAAGTCCATCCGAGGACATATATCCGTAGACTCTATCGCCAGAGGAGGGTTCTCCTGCGAGCCACTTAGTCGTCCAGAAGGAGGGGTCGTTCCGGCCCACCATCGTGAAAACGCCCGAGGAGTTGCGTCGCAAATTGAGCATGAAGGCTGCGTTCAAGTCCTGAAGAAACTCGTACTCCACCTGGTTGATGAAGGTCGCATAAGTGGCGGACGGGTCAAGGCCATGGCAGAAAGAAGTATCCTGCGACCATCCGACGGACGTTGAGCTTGTGAACCGCTCGACGTGGTAGCAGACGGCTCCAACCAGCTGGAACGTTCCAGAACATGTCGGCGGGATGTTCTTGGCCAGGATCTGTCGGCCGGCGCTGAGGACGAGCTCATCGTCGGCAGGTTTGGTGCCCCACAGGAGGCATCCTTCAGGGGAGGTCTCATAGAGACTACACCCCTCCAATTGGAGACAACGTATGGCGCAGAGCAGTGACGATCCGCCAGGGTGGGTGGCCAGAGGCGTCTTGACGAAGTGCTGGTCCCGAGCCAGCAGACTGAATTTCACCGCCTCCGTGACGTCCGCTGGTATCAGCAGGGTGGTTGTCATGGCGACCAGCAGCGTCAGTGGCATAGAACCGCCGATCGGAGAATGCCGAGAGTTGAATGACGTCATCTGAGAAAAGATAGCAATTTCGTCCTTCGGTTATGCTGTCGATGAAAATATCGTTAAAATGAAAAACCGCCCGTCTGAGACCATTTAAAAGTTCTATGAAATAGTTATGGAGCAAGCAATGAAAAAGTCCACATTTTTCTACTACGATGGTCATTTTGCCAAGGGCGCCGTACTTGCGCAATAAACAATCATGAACTCGCGAGAATGAGCGCGAAAGCTTCGATCACATTTACAACCAGTAAGACGCCTTTAGGAGGCGATAAACGAGCGAGCGAGAGAGTGGCCCTGCACGTGCGGAAGGGCGAGAGAGTACTTCCAAATGGCTTGTGCACGGCACCTACTACCGGTCATTAAAGGAAAAGTGTCACCTTCGTGAAATATGAAGATATCGTTGCTTTTCATTTTGACATTATTATTTTTCATGTTCTTTTTAAATCTGGTGCCAGAAGTGCATAATTCGCAAAAAAGTATGTCAAACTATTTAACATATTGGTACTATGTTTGTACTCTCTACCGCACCTTCTGTATGATGTCATAGCGATGACATCACACTCAAGCCAATCAGCCTTCAGAAGACAGTCTCGTCGGCTTGTGTCAGATTAGCTGATTGGTTAAAGCTGAGCTGGTTGGAGCTGATTGGTTAAAAACCAAAGCCTCGCCGCGGGTGGCTGTATTACAGGATAAGAACGCATTCCTGGGATGAGGACGCATTCCTGGCATATTTTCTTTTAAAATTGCCGATACCTACAAATGGAGGCCGAAATCGGCCGTAAGGTGGGACACTCTCGGGGTTTTCGGACACGGGCTACAAGATGGCCATCTCAGTTTCAAACCCCATGTTAAAGGTGACCCTTTTCCTTTAACGGTGTACCAAATTTAGAGGTAATCAACCCAGCAGTTCTCGAGATCTGGAAGCGGCACCATGCACGTGTGCACGTGCAAACTGGGTCCAAAGCAGTCCAAAGTGGCTTTTGCACGGCACCCTACCAGCCTGTCACTAAACGCGTATCAAATTTGAGCGCAGTCGGCCCAGCCGTTCTCGAGATCTGGAAACGTTGTCTGCACGTGCGCACGTGCAGTAGCACAATGACAGTTACACATGGGAATGTATTGTCAGGTGTGGGTTCCTACCGGCATGCCAAGTTTTAGCGAAATCACCCCGGTAATTGCCGAGTTATTGTGAGGGAGCAAATTTGGCATCCGTTCTTTTTGCATTTTGAACGTGCATTGGAGGTGGCCCACAGATATCGAGAGTATACGAATTACGATGTTTGGTAGAAGGGATGCAACTACCTTTCAAAAATAACCGCAAATTCAACAGGTTCAGGGAACTCGGCGGCGGCTCAGTAGCGGCGGAGCACACTCAATTAAGGGGCATAGGCGCGGGAGCCGGGGGGGGGGGCAGTGGGGGCAGCTTGCCCCCCCCCCCCCCAACTCTGGGGCCGTGGGGGCGGTGCCCCCACAGCTTTGAGACGGAATACCACACTTTTTTGCAAATGTTTTCTTTTTTGTTGAAAAAGCCAAGGGGTGAAAAATAAGTGGCCTAAAACCGGTGAGAAAACTAGATTTGGGGGTATCCTAGGTTGACCTCTATTATGGTGTGCCCCCCCAGTCTGAAAGTAGGTCCCGCGCCCCTGTTAAGGGGGGGGGGCACTGTCGACTTTTGGTCCCATTCTTTACATGCAACGCCCACAGGGCTAATGTTAAAATGTCAAAATCAAAGGGGGCACGGTGCCCCGGTGCCCTCCCCGCTCCGCCGCCTATGCGCCGGCTGCAAACCCAATCAAAGAAACCCGGCGAACGTCGCTCGTGTGAGAGATGCGCTACCCAGGCTGTCAACGGTCAGCGATACCGGGTGGCCCTGGCAAAGTTTTTGAGTGTCCTGCAGACCACAATGAGTGCAGATATCTGGAAGCACTCAAGATTCAGTGGTTCCAGCAAGACGCTGCCATGGCCAATACCGCTAAAGAAAGCCGGGAGTGGCTTGCGGGAGCGCTCCGGGCAGCGCGTGATCTTAACCCGCGCCCTGCTGGGGGGGGTGTTTGAACACCCCCCCTTGTGGTTTTTCGCGAATATCTCAAAAACGGCGGCGCGGAGCGCCGCCGTTTTTGGTACACCTTATCATACATCAATTCTACACATGTTGTAAAAATTTCAGACCAAGGTCATTCAAGGTCAGGTCACCAGGTCACTTGAAGCGACCTCACCTCATAAAAAGTTTCAATGTCTGTCATAGCTACACCGAGTGACCGATCGCTTTGAAACTTTCAGCGATTGCTAAGAGCAATAGCATGTACAAAATGTATATCTCAGAATTTTGATATCGATGACCTAAGGTCAGGTCAATTTTGCGACCTTCCCATTATAAGTCAATGGGAGAAAATTGAAATGCGCCTCTTTTGGACGAAAGACATTATAAACACTCCTAAACACTGAATTACAAGTGGTTTAGACATACTGAACATGAAAATGGTGTCCGTGACCCCTGTTTATGCCCTGAGGTCATCTTAGGTCACGAATGGTATCTAACAGTTTTTCGCAAATAACTTTTGATAGAGGCATGCTAGAGCGATGAAAACGCCTTAGAGGTGTTCAGCTCGACGATACGGATCGACTGATATGCAACATGACCCTTTCCGGTCAGGTCATGACCTTGACCTGAGGTCAAATTTTCAAGTTGACCTTTCAAGGTCAAGTTGTAGTTCATTCGATGCGTCTTGACGAGAGGAACACGATGCCGGTAAAAGTAAGCTCGTACAAGGCTTGGGTCAAAAGTTATTGCAGAAAAACTGTTTCCGAAAAAATCGGCTATTTTTGCAGTTTTTGCCCCCTGCAGGCAAAACCGTTGACGTTAGGTCAAATCTGAGAACATTACTCAGAAAGGGCGTTAATAGGGCTATCGAATGCGCTTTTCCGCGGCGCTGTAGCTCTATTGGTTCCCGAGTTATGCGTTGGCTTCTTGGAAATTGTCGACATTCGACCTGGAAATCGGCGAAATTATGCCTTTAATGACCTCTGGTGACCTGACCTTTGACCTGACCAAAAAATTGACTGAAGTGATTTCCTCATTATTTTTGACGCTCTTTCGAACGCCGCCTTCCGCGTATCGCTACGTGGCCCAGGAGCCGAGTTAGAAGGGGGGGTGTTCAAACACCCCCCCCAGCAGGGCGTGGAAATCCAGGACCCCCAGCAGGGCGCGGGTTAAGGCTCGAGACACCCGTAGCCGGCGAGCTCCCCGGACTTGCCCCACCGGACTTTTTCCTGTAGGACCGCCTCAAGTCCCAGGTGTACCGGAACAACCCAAGAAGTCCCAACGACCTGAAGGATGCAGTGAGGTCGGCGGTGCGCCGCCTGCCGCTTTCCGTGTGCCGTGCTGCAGCAGAGGCCGCGCTGAGCCGGGCTCTCTCTGGGCTCTTTGTACCTCTCTGTTTGTCGTTTTGTAAAAACGACAAACGACAAACGAACAAAACAAAAACGTGGGGACACACAGAAGGCGGGGGATGACGGTTATTTGACTTTGCCATACATCGATGAGCATTTACTGTGCAAAGTGAAAAGCATTATTAAGAAATCCGGACTCAATGTAAAGCTGGCTTGGCGAAATGATATGAAGTTAAAAAAAAAACGTTTCGTTCGCTCAGCATTTAGCAAACCTCGTTGTCCAGGGGGAGATAGGTGTAATTTGTGCAAGAGTGGGTTCACAGGCCAGTGTACACACCAGTATAACGCCTTTTGGGGCGACTAACGGAGCGAGCGAGAGGGTGAGCCTTGCACGTGCGAAATTTCGACGAGGTATCTCCATCTGACTTGTGCACGGCACCCTACTAACCGGTCTCTAGCGATGTGCCAAATTTGAGCACAATCGGCCCAGCCCTTCTCGAGATCTGGAAGCGGCACCCTGCACGTGCGCACGTGCAAAATGGGTCCCAACTGAGTTTTGCACGGCACCCTACTAACCGGTCCCTAACCATGTGCCAAATTTGAGCGCCATCGGTCCAGCCGTTCTCGAGATCTGGAACCAGTATAACGCCTTTTGGGGCGACTAACGGAGCGAGCGAGAGGGTGAGCCTTGCACGTGCGAAATTTCGACGAGGTATCTCCATCTGACTTGTGCACGGCACCCTACTAACCGGTCTCTAGCGATGTGCCAAATTTGAGCACAATCGGCCCAGCCCTTCTCGAGATCTGGAAGCGGCACCCTGCACGTGCGCACGTGCAAAATGGGTCCCAACTGAGTTTTGCACGGCACCCTACTAACCGGTCCCTAACCATGTGCCAAATTTGAGCGCCATCGGTCCAGCCGTTCTCGAGATCTGGAATCGACCCCTGCACGTGCGCACGTGCAGCAACACCCCAATTCTGGCACATGGATATGCATTGCCTAGTGGGTGTCTACCTACATGCCAACTTTCAGCGCAATCGGCCAAGTAGTTACCGAGATATTGCAACAATTACAAAAGTGGCACCTCTTCGTTTTGCACGTGGCACGTGCATAAGGGGTCGCCCTCATGCATCGGCAATAGTCCAATACTTGGTAGAAGGAATGAAGCTACCCTACAAAAATTACCGCGTGTAAATCGGTCAAGTGGTTGCTGAGATATAAGCGTCGCAGAATCGTGACCACGGCCGGCCGCTCATACTCAGAAATTTTCGTTAGGCTAAGGAAAGACTATACGCTCGCTTCGCTCGCTCCGTAAAAAGATACCTGTCTCGTACTCTAGATGAGTGTAAGAATGCAGTGCGCCAATTTGGGACTTTGATTTGTATTTTCTAATGTAAGAATTAGTTAGGCTTAATTAGGCTTAACAAATTTCAGTTACGTGTATTCGTATGTCGACTAAAAGTTATCATGATTTGAAAAATGGATGTACTTTAGATTTAATTGCTCGTAATAACGAATAGTGAAATAGGAGATAAAGAAAGGAGCAGACAAGAAATGTATTCTCATTCTGTCTTTTGGTAACAATTCCGACGAAGATCTGTGATCGAAATATCAATATCAATATATCCTTTTTGCTAATTTATATTTTACGAGGAAAGGTCATATGATACTAAAACTGCTTTTAAAAGTTGTGTTTATTCGAGCGACGCGACGTAGATATTGTCGGTATTCTGCTCGAACCTGGCTATCTAACCATATAGTACCTACCTGGTTGTCTTTGCCAGCGACACGCTCCTCACCACCGCGTGAACCAGGGGCGAGTGAGCGGCGCTCAAAGCCCGCGAGTGTCCATCGTCGAATGTGTGTTTGGTTGTCTTGGATACGGACGGCCGATTGGCCGCACAAGGTGGGTCGTGCTGCCACGTGATGTGCAAGCGATATGCACTTTGCACTTTTCACAGGACAAGCTTCAACTGCAGAATGGCCACTAGCGACGTTTCGGAGCTACCAATGCGGCCATGGGCAGATTATATAAGTGCATCATCAAATTGCCTTCATTACCTACCACCAGCAGGTGAGTACAAGAAACAAGGGCATTGTTACAGAGTAAAATAAGTTATTTGTACACACATTGTAGTACCTACATAAGTAAGTATATATGCAGATGCCGATTGATTGATACCTAGTTATTTGGCTCAATTCTTGATGATACGGATCGTGAGGCCGTATTGCATCATTTCTTGTAGGTAGATATCTCTTTCAGTGATGTGAAATTTAAGAAATCATTTGCATAACTTTGTATACAAGATTGTGTGCATATGTAACTTCATACATTGATGGTGAATAATCATTGTAGAATAGAAAAGGCATGTATTATTCAATATACCCTACAGTTTACAGCAAAAGCTTATAAAAGACAGGACAGCATAGCATACAAATGGCAGAGACATCTACAGGAAAGCGGATGGATGGATTCGATTATCATGTATGGTGTTTTCTATAGAACATCTGTATCTTGTCGTAAGCGTCGTAACAAAACACCCACCACTGCACGCTTATAACGATTTGTACTAGTGATGTCAATTGTGAAAAATTGTGATACCGATACCAAACCAAATACCAACAATACCCATGGAAAAATACCGACACCGAACCAACTAGGGAATATGAGGGAAATACCAACTTTTCACCAAATTCTCAACCTTTTAAAGATTAATGAGGATTCATAATGCCAACAAAATACCAAAGGCATTCGCCTTGAAATACCAAATACCAAATTGGTATCGATTTGGTATCGGTATACCAAAAAGTTGGTATCCGATTGACATCTCTAAGTACCTACACAATGCTCCGTTTATCAATGCCCATCAATATCTCCATCAATGCCCCCCGTCCTTGTCGGACTGGCTGAGAGGCCCGTGGTAGTGGCACAGAGAGCCGTGACAGTGGAACGGGCTGACCCCACAGCGGGAGGTGAGGTTCGTCTCGAACACCAGCCGGTTCTCGATACCGGAGATGACGGGGGAGAACTGCTCGATGTGGTCGCGCATCAGATCTACGTCCAGCAGACCTGGAAGAGAGATTCGACTGTCGCTCGATTTGACTCGAGTATCAGGCGTAAAAATGACAGGCTTCGTGACAGGCTGCTGTCAATTGTCCGCGCGAAAAAAAGCCGCGCGAGACATATGTACATATAAGCTCTGTATTTTTTTTATAGGCATGATAATTTTATTCAAGACTTATGTAACGATGTTTCTTCCCGTCCATAATAGAATAGTACCTAAAACATATGGCTGTATTAGATATTTACAACGCTTGTAAAATTGACTTAGTTATTTTCCAAAAAAGTTTTCCTTCTTCGATCATCTCCGTCGTCAGAGCTCTCACCTGTATCCAACTCATCAATCTTATCGTCACTGATGACGTTATAGCCATCCCCACCCCCGGAGAGGAAAGTCGACATGACGACTCGGTAGGTGCTTTCAGCACGCACTGGCTCTAGGCGGGGTACCAGACAGTCAGTGCAGACGATCTCCAGGTGTAGCAACCGCATCCCCTCGGGGCAGTCCATGTTGTAGGTGACCCGAAAACCTGCAGGAAATAAAGGATTTTTGCAATATAATTAGGCAACCTGAACGATATTCAACATCCACCTGATGTTTGAATTTAAATCGCACTTTCCTGTCTTAGCAGTACATGTTATAAATTTCGAAAAGAGACATCATATTCGAAGTTTTTGGTAGCTGTGAAATGTGTAAAACTTGCCCCGACATAGTTTCTGCTTCAAATCTGTTACTATCCTTCAGATTCTCAGGTTTTGGCCCCATGTTCTTTTTTTTCTCACCTGCCACCTGCAGAAAGCGTCCTCCGCCAAGTGCCGAGTGCTCGAACGTCTGACGCAAGGTCTCTCCGGAGAGAGTCACCAGGCTGATGGTGTTGCCGAAGGGCTGGATGTTGAGCACGTCGGAGAGCGTGATGTTCCCCGGCTCCAACCGAGAGCGAATGCCGCCCGTATTGATGATTGCTGCAGATACCTGTGTGAGAAGGCACGTGGTTATGAAAGGCACGGCGGTCAGATGATGGGATTATTGATGGCGAAAATTGAAACGAAAATTGCAATTGGTGGCGTAGGTGATGGCGTAAATACAGACGGATGTAATTAGGTGACCGGACGTCGGACGTCGCAAGTGCATGCGAATTGCGAAGGAAACATAAAAATGGAGCTGGGGGTAAAAACGCGGTTACCGATAAGTAATTCTAATGTGTTTTAATTGCGCTTAGAAATAATGTCATCAATTGTCATCAATGCGCCAACGTATTCCTCCCTTACTCCCCTCCCTGAGTCTGCCTCTGCGCCCGGCGCGACCTTGACCTCACCTGGCTCCACTGTCCGTCAGATGGCACCAGCAGCGCGCGAACCAGCGAATCAGCGATTAGATTCCCCAGGCCACACTCACTGCGGCTATCCGTACAAGCGAGCTGCACCAGTGTTGTGCCGATGACTTCACGCTCGTATTCAGAAATCTGGCGGGGATAGGTTTAGTTAGGGGAAGGGAAAGATAGGAAGGAGGTGGAAGAAGAAGAAAATTGAAATGAAGATAAGAAAGAGAAGGAGAGAGGAGAACAAGCCTAGGATATTGTTTCTCTCCTTCTCTCTCTCTCTCTCTCTCTCTCTCTCTCTCTCTCTCTCTCTCTCTCTCTCTCTCTCTCTCTCTCCTCTCTCTCGCTCTCTCTCCCGTCCTCCCTCACTTTCTCCCTTCTCCCCTCTCTCTCCCTCTTTCCGTTATATCTCCTTCCTGTGTCCTTCTCCCCTTGACGTTCCCTCCCGTCTCAGCCTCACCTGATCCTTATACTGCTGCAGTATCTCTTCGGCTTCCTGATCCTGCTCCCCCTCCAGCCGTATGGGGTTGCCGCTCCAGTCAGCCACCTCTCCGGCACTATCGAAGGTGACGTTCAGCACCCCCAGGTACTTGCCGTGCTGATAGGCCTGCACGACGAGCACAGCCCGACCCGAGGTCTGGTGGACCACAGTGGGATACGGTCCGGTCACAGGGTCATCGTCCGGCGCCGCTCCTGTGGAGGTCAGAGGTCAGGGGTCAGAGATCAGGGGTCAGGGGTTAGGGGTCAGAGGTCAGGGGTTAGATACCAGAGGTGAATGGTGAACATCCCTCTGTGGCTCATTGCCACACTTCACTTTCTATGTTAATGTCTGTAATCGCACGCTGTTTGTAAATTGACAATCACCACATATGTATTCATACTGTATACACTACATATACTGTACATACATACTTCATATCACAGATAACATGAATCCAAGTTATTGATTCATGTTATCTATGTTCATATGTATACACTACATACTGTATTCTTTAGATAGTTTGGTATCTATCTTCAGATACCATTTACCTCTATGTTGATATACTAGCCCCGAACCTGTGTAGAGCAGCGAGTGGGAGTGCCCTCCGACGATGACATCCACGTCCTCGAGCTGCTGCGCCATCTCCAACTCCCTGTGGTAGCCGGAGTGACCCACGGCGATGATGATGTTGACGCCCTGCGCCTTCAGCCTGGCTGTCTCCGAACGCAGCGCACTGACCTCGTCCAGGAACTCGATGGCGGGAGGTGGCTTGGAAATGACCTGAGACGGGAGAAGGGGTCATCCAGTGGTGAACGGCGATGGTTCGGTGTCTCTTAATGTTTGTGTTTTACTCTGAGTGTCATCATTTGACCTAGCGCGAAGGAGAAGCCCTTTTTAAGTTATGGCTTCTCTTATCATGACATACATCATGCTCTCTGAATCCTGTCGTCGCTACTTATTTTAAGGAACAGCTCAATTTGAGGAACAGCCCATCTATAACCCCAGCCATGTGCCCAACATCTCCAACTCCACCATCAGCCACCGTTCATCACATTCCTCACCTTCGTCTCGGGCGTCGTGAAGCCCACGATGCCGATTTTGTGGCCTCCGATCTCCCGCACGACACTGGAGAGACACTTGTCGGTGGTGGGCGAGGCCAGTGGACCGAAATCGATGTTTGTGCAGAGCTGCTGGTGGTTCACTCCATCCAGATACGGTAAAAGGCCGTCCAGACCGTCATCGAATTCGTGGTTTCCCAGCGCCTGAGGGTTTAAAGGTGGGAGTAAAGAGCGACCTTAAAATTATTGTTTTTTACGAGGCAAGCAACACGTCTGGCAAGCTTCTTTTTAAGTCGAAAGGTGATTCGCAATATATCTCGGAACATTATACGCCTACACTGTACAGTATGTCTTAAAGGTACCGCGCAAAGTAACGGTGGATCCATCAAGCCTGACCGAGGAAGAGCCTGCTAAATTTGAGTCACCGAAGCAATTGACCTTCTCGTCCATTCCCAAGGTCAATTGGTTCCGTGACTTTCAAATTAGGTATAGCAGGCTCTTCTTCGGTCAGGACTCAGGCTTGATGGATCCACCGTCACTTTGCGCAGTACTTTTAAGTCAGACTGTACGTACAGCATCGGAATTTCCTTCAAATTTAAAATATTATTTCGCTTAGCTTGGACATTGATGCACAAGTGAAGTTTATAGCATTTAATTCGACAAAGAAACGTTTCTTGAACTTGTAATTGCATCCCAATATTTTTGCAGCCCCACATTTTCGCGTCCTTACCATGGCATCGTAGGGCACTAAATTCATCATGTCCACCACCACTCTCCATTTGAAAAGTGTGTAGTACAGGTAACCCTGGAAAATATCACCACCGTACAGCACCAAGGTATTCGGCGTCTGTTCCTTTATCGCCTTGACGGCGCTGACGAGCCGTCCAATGCCGCCGTAGCAGGGGTTTTCGGGGTCGTCGGGGTAACGACAGGCGGCCGTGTTGGCATCCACGGGGTCGAAATACGAATGGACGTCGTTGTTGTGTAGAATGGTGAGCTGGAGCTGGGCAGAAACTATGCTGACTGCGGTCAGGAGCAGTAGTGAGCGGAGTGACATCGCGACTCGAGGGGTACTTCTGGGTGAAGACGAGAAAAGGTCTGAAAATAAAACGGAGGGGGGAGGGGGATGACACAATTTTAGCGGGCATGTTGCTCAGGATTTTGTGTTTCCAGCCTGCTCAATTGATCACTATAACACAAAGAGGAATATAAATGACGTTATCATGTAACATGTTATAAATGTTGTCATCGCCATGCGCTGACAAATTTTTAACGACGAAAACGTACCTGCCCGATATCACCTTGTCGTTCCTCGTTGTCGTGCCTTAGTGACCTGACCGTGACGTTGTGACTAGTCCCTCTCCCTTCACACGCTTTTCTCGTCGTATTCCTGCCTTGACTTATGTGAGAGCACTGTTGCTATTCGTGTACCACTGATGCCACTAAATACTAATCCAAGTCAGCAAGCCCAAAACCTGCTGCTGTCCTGTTCTGCCTCGGGCGTAGAAGAGGCGACGACCTATCAAACCACGGAACCGGTTTCGAGGGTTGTTAGACGGTCCACAACCTACAGGGTGTCCAGAAACTCCTGTCGCTTCTTTTGGACGCCCCCTAAGGCGCACTGTGATTAGTGGACAATCAGCCAATCACCGCACGCATGACATTGCGTGCGGTGCCAGCTGGAGACAGCTGACAGCTGGAGGTCGTGAAAATGTGCCCTTGAAATCGTGTGTCATGTTCAGTGATGAGCTCGAAGATGCGCCTTGTCGCTATCTTCAGTTCTAAGCTACTGTGTGTCTGAGGTCGAAATCCACTTGATCCCATGCCTCTCCTGTTGTGTGGTGACGTCGGTGTATTATTCTGTTGTGGCGACAGGGTCGTAGCCAAGGGAGGGGGCCACGGGGGCCATGCCCACCCCCCTGAAGGCGAAAAATACAATACAATTAGATAAAAATTAAAATAAATAACAACAGCTGCACCCCCCAAAAATGGTGGGCCAAATCCGAGGAGTTTTCCTTTTTTGGAGGGGTTACGACACTAGGCCGCGACCTGTGGCCGCTCCCTGAGCAAAATCCTGGCTACGTGCCTGTGTGGCGGATCGGTCGGGAGCGGTGAGAGGTCGGCAGTACCGTAGCCGCGGGTCACCGCTGATCAGTCACAGACGTGACCTGCCCCCCTCCCTCCCCCCGGGCGGGAGACTGCAGGCTTCACAGCTCTGTAGCTTCATTCATCTGATGTCGATTAATGTCGATTACAAATGAACACAGGTGATCGTTCCATTCGTTATTTATCTGCATTTCCTTTAAATTCCATCCCCGCTTTTATTTTTCGAACGATATTTCATAAATAATTTTGAGGCACAAATACAGGAGAATATGCAGTTCAACTAGAGGCAAACAATGCGTAAAGCTCACAAACTGGAACAGAAAAACGCCAGCTGCCAATGCCACGGACATAAATCCACTGGAACATTGAAATCTATTACCATGGAATACATATATCCTCACATTTTGTCGTTGCTCAAGTGACTTACGTTGTATTGTGCTCGTTAGTCGTTTCTTTATTTGACTTTTTCTATCGGCTCTCACGCCCCCATCAGAGTTTGATCTGACAGATGGAACGACTGTGATAGGCAGTACAGTCCTCCGAGGCCCATTTACCGGTATGAACCGAGTTTAGGACCGCACAGCTCGACATGGGCCCCGCGCGCGGCTCATACGTATCCCACGAGGTGAAGTCCACATCGGAGCTGTCATCCCAGAACCAATCGTAGTGTGGAATGGGCTGACGAAGGCCCAACCATACCCTATGCGAGCCGGCCACGTTTTCCGCAAGAAAGGTGTTTTGCTCCTCGTCGTGCGTGGATGCGTGCGTGGCGCCCGGGTGCAGGGTTTGGCACGCATCTTGGGCGTCGTCCCAGGTCCACTCGTAGTCGATGAGAAGGTAGCAGAAGCTGCGGTAGGCGATCCACTGTTCAGAGGGACAGCTGCAGTGGCTGGGTGCGGTGGCTGCCACGGCTAGAAGAAGTAGCGTGAAGAGAAGGTTCATGGCGGAGCGATGACGCGTGGAAAATCGGAGAAAACTGAAACACGGAAGAATGTTTGTTGTTGTCATTGGTGGTCATGAGAATAGATGAAGAGAAAACATTTGTGAAGCTTTGTCAGGAAGGATGGTCCCCTAAATGTAACGGAGAAGTAAAAAAACAAAAAAACAAAAACAAAATGTGTTCTAAAGAAAAAACGTGTTTGTTTCGTTGCATGCTGTTCGACTTAGAGGCTAGAATATATTTTTAAATATAATGTCACCACAAGTCGGCAAGACTTATATAACAGTGCCTAATAGGTATACGGCCTTGTAACGGTTCTATGGCGCTTCTTTAGTCTGCTTTCAATAATCTAGTACATAAATAGGTAATTATATTCTTAAATATAAACCATACCTACAGGCGAGGTCGCAAAAAATGTCCTGTAAAGACAACAAATTTCAAATCACGACCTGACAGAATTTGCTAAATTTCAATAAGTTTTTATGTACTTTAAACAATTATTATTCAGGTGGATTGTGGAACATCAAACTTGTTGACCTTTTTTGTGCTGAAATTGAAAGCTCTAGAAGTAGGTATCTGGTGAGGAAAACCGCTTATTTTCATTTATCATCCTCTATTTCTCCTCCCTTGTTCCTCTCTCTCCCTCTCTCTCTCTCTCTCTCTCTCTCTCCCTCTCTCTCTCTCTCTCTCTCTCTCTCTCTCTCTCTCTCTCTCTCTCTCTCTCTCTCTCCTCCCACCCTGTTTCCACCACGTGTCCTTACCTCTACCGATCACCCCTCTGCCAAACGAGCCACACTTGACGACCGTACCTGCGAACCGTTCGAGAGTCACCAGGCCCTGTGCAGCCACAAAAAGGTGACGTCCGCCGACAGCGTCTTATCTTTCCAACACAGGTGACTCTCTCTTGAGAAAACACACATCTGAAATGTACCGACTGCACTGCGCTGAGACGGAACTCTGTAAGTCATGGGAGACGTGATTGGATTTTGATAGACTGCTGTTATTTCGAACTTGTTTTTAGCGAAAAAGTCCCAGGCAAGCTTCATGTTATGAGTTCAATAGTAATTAAAGGGATATATTTATTGGCACGTTTTCACACAACACCATGTTGAAGAAAGTCTCTACGAGGTGCGCTATCGTTTCGATAAGCACATACCAGTTTAATGTTTCTTGTTTGATTTATATTTAACCACGGGTAACCAACTGCGAGCAATGTAGTATCAATTTCAACAGCTCCTAACACTCTGTAAAACAGTATAGAAATGGCGAAATTATGACTTTCTAATGTATGCCTTCATTGCTAGGGTTTATTGGAATTCGTCAGGAATTCTGACACTGCCTGGATAGCTTGCAATTGCAATTGCAATTGCTGTATGTATCTTGTGCCGCTAAAGCTATGTGTCTTAATGTTTTACGTTTAACGTTTACGTAACGTTTAACGTAACGTTAACGTTAACAATAACTTTAACGTTAGCTTTCAAAACGTTATAACCGATAACGTTTTGAACATTACACACGTAACTCTGATCGTGACTTTCGGCACCCAAATTAACTCTTTTCTGCCAAATCTCGATCATTTTTAAGCAGAACATCAATGCTGATCTACAAGCGATATTGGCGAGCAACACTAGCTACAAGAAAAAGCGCGTTCATTCGTTTTGAATGCTGTGTGGCATCGAGTGTCATTCTATCCCTTCAAGGTCAAAGTGCAGCGCTGTCCGTATGAAACTGCTCAGTGCTCACGCCGCCGGTTTTTATTGATATTACAACACATGGGGTCCACATGAGGCGACCCATGGCTCGACGTTGTCGTCTTGGCTCTCGACCAGTTTTATTCGAAGAGTTGTGCAAGGCAGAACAACTGACGAAGTGAGGTTTTGGTTAGCCCTAGCGGTAGAACAAACCTTACTGCCAAGTTCAAGGTCTCGTTCTGAAGACATTTGTTTACAGTTCATGTCTTTGAGAAGTTGAAGAGGTGACTATGTTGCGTTGGCGCATGTTGGTGGCTGCACTCCCGCTGTTTACGATAATTTATCGAGCAGGTGCGGTTGTTCATCATGTTCCTCTCCACGTACGTCCAGGTAAGTGCTCTGTGGTCGCTGTGTGTCTCTTCATTGATCAATGTGTTTATTGTTCGCTATTCCATTAAACAGACCAGGTTATATCAATAGAGCAACTGCCAGTGTCGCGATCCATGATCTTTGTGTGTGTATTTTTATTGAGCAATGTGTTAATTTATTTGTTTATTATTCCATTACACATACCAACTCTGTCAATAGCGACCGCGCAAAGTAGATTACAGGCGTCAGGCAAATATAAATGTTAAACAGATTTACGCGTTCAACTCACGCTAGCATTTATATTTTATAGCTAAACATAGTACATACCTAAGTCATTGTCAACTCACACGATATGAAACAACGCCTATAGGTATACAATACATACATGGGTACCTATGTGTACATATATCACGAGGTGACCTTCGCTCGTTTTCAGGTCACAGTCACGAATGCTACATCCCGCGGCTAAAGACCTTTCTGCCGCTGAGAGAGGTGCGGTTTCTCTCCGGATGTCGCGCCATGACGTGCACGCGCATCGGAAAACAACACCTCATGAAAATCGCAGAGTAAGTGAGCAAGAGTACCTAAGGATGCAAAGGAGGATGCATAGTCTTAAGAAAGGTCGTTAAATACGATACTGGAATTTAGAAAGAAACCCGGACATTGTGCAGTGGTAGGTCTACACATAGCTCAAATGTCTCTCGCTCATTATGCCATTCAATAGGTACAGCCCACCGCTAAAGTAATGTAGGGTTTTGCCAATCTCAGCGGTTGGCTTTGACTGGCGATTGTTTAAAGGGACCCTCCCACCTGAACATTAGATTTGAGTTGAGATAGCCAAAATGGGGTCCCTGGCTCACAATTACCGGTTTCGGCACTCACAACATCGAGAAATGCCTTAACTCGAAAATATTGAACTTCAAAATTGCAGCATTTTGATTCAGAGGGGCTAATGCAAAGGAATACCCCTCTGAATGTGTGACGTCAGCGCAGATATCTAACGATTTTTAAATGTTTGACTAAAACGTTTTGTAACACGCGGTGGTATATGCTGCTTTGCGCGCAACAAATGCCGCACTTTCAAATAAAGTCGCTATAGGAACAGCGGAGATCCCAAAAGTAAACAAAAGTAAGAGTCTAATATCTTGAAAACCGGTGAATATTTTTTGATGAAATTTGGTAGATATTCGTTTTTGCTCTTTCTGAACCGAGCGACATCACTTTCATGCCAATTCATTAACTTTTTTGAAGGCGGGAGGGTCCCTTTAATGCGGATTGATCGAACAGAAGATGTCAATAGCTAAAGTTGCAGCTGCAAGGGTGACGATACATATAAGCTACATTCAAAGTTTCATTGTAGTCTGGTTAATCGTTCCTAAGCTTCAGAAGCAGAACATACCCATGACTGAAACCCCTCATTACTTCTGCTGTGGACTGTACGTCCAAGGCTATAGAACTCCGCTATACGTCTTTATGGTCACCGGTCATTCGATAATGAAGGCTCCAGGCCCAGAATATTTTCATTAAACTGAGGGTATTTTCTACTACTTTGTATTCATGTCAATTGCTTCGACTATCGTGGTCATGTCTCATATGCAATTATAGTTGTGAAGCTTGTGCGGGGCGCCTTATTTTCCTAGCCTCATCTCATCATTGTTCGTCCACATAGGCGGCGGAACGGGGAGGGCACCGGGGCACCGTGCCCCCCCCTTTGATTTTGGCATTTTAACATTAACCCTATAGGCGTTGCATGGAAAGAATGGGACCAAAAGTCGGCAGTGCCCTCCCCCCCCCTTAATTGAAAGTGTTCCGCCGCTACTGTTCGTCCACCTGGGACAAAAAAATAACTAAATTACCAGGGAAATATTGACCTAGTCTAGACCAATAATTAGTGGAGCCTATATTGACGGTTTGAATCTCATTATCGGGCCTTGAGCCTCATTCGCATGATGCCGGTAGCTGATCAGTCTGTCACACCGTCCTGCAGGTGCAACCCGCCGCTGCTCCGACCGGAGCACTGTGTGGAGATATACACGGACCGCGCTGCTCGCTACCCGCACTGCTGTCCCAGCTTCGATTGTCCGCGGGTGTTCGATGTGGAGGTATCCGCGCACGTAACGCACGTGGGTACAGGGAAGGGGAAGAAAGGAAACGGGAAGAAGCACAAACCGAGAGTGGCACAGAAACTGTGACGGTGTTCTGTATTTGAGAAATAAATCTGAGCCTCAGCTTTTCCAGGCGTTTTCTGCTCATCGCAGGCTAAATCTCAATGAGGTTCGATTGACTCAGGTATCTGAATTTGAAAATGTCATTTTTTATCGAATTTTGCTCCCTGATGTACCGCTGTCCCCCTGTGCCGTTCTCTGCCCTCCTGTCCCGGTGCCCGTGACCTTGACCTCTCCCTGTCTTCCCTGACCCCTGCACTCCCAGTCCTCACTTCCGCACTGCAGCTAAGCCGTCAGGTGGCATAAATCGCAGACGACTTTCGTCATTTGGTGTGGCCAGATAACGAGTCGAGACATCGGGCGACAGGCAAGATGAGTTCGCGGCGTGCAGAGTTGTTTGACGGACCGCCGCTGTTCATTGAGCGAGCAGGTCTCGGGAGGTTTGTTGATTTAACAGGTAAGACGGAACTATGAGACGTCGTTACGCATTATCGCTGAAAACGGCAGTGAATTACATTGGTGGAAGCGGTACATGGCGAAAGTTACGAGTGCGTTGTATGCACAATTTTCGATTCCTTATTTCGCTGTGGCAGCAAATGCCTAAACCATCTTGTCGACCGATATTGAGAGTTATTAGGGCTTAACGAACTTATCTAGTTGTTATGTCATGAATGTTCGAGAATGTGCCATGCAAACGAGTTTTATGAGTCCATCCGAGTTCATGCTGTTGTAATAAACATGGTGCGGACAGTTAATGTTTGACGATTGCTGTCATTTTATATCAACGAGTCATTTCACACTGCTATCACCCCCGTTTCAGGCTAGAGTTCCCCATCGTCTCCACCATGGCCGTCCTGCCGCTTCTCCTCCTCGTGACCGTCTTCACCTCCCCATCACTCGCTGGCTGCCCCTCCGAAGAATGGCACGCCAGCAAGGGCACCTGCTACCGCTTTGTCTACCACTACTGGACATGGTCGGACGCCCTGGACGCCTGCGGTCTCATCCAGGAGAACTCCACGCTCGCCTCGGTCCACGACCTAGAGCAGAACGCGTTTGTGGCGGAGACCGTGTGTGGCTATGGAGAGGCTTGGCTGGGCCTGAGGCGGCCCGGGTCTTACATGGGGTGGGATTGGGTCGATGGATCGCCGACGAATTTCACCCAGTGGGGGTATAACCAGCCGGCCAGTGAGGGCGAGCAGTGTGCCATTATCAACGGGTACACTTCTGGTCAGTGGATCTCAGGGGATTGCCAGTCGGATCATGCTAGTTTTGTGTGCCAGATCGCTGAGCAATAGGTAGGGAGTAGAGATGCTTGAAAAGCATTGTCCTCTGTCTCTAGTGTGGCGCTGCTGTACATACATACCTACAGGTCTGAGGCTGGACGGAGCAATTGAAGGGGAAATAAACGTATCAACAGGGGCGTCGCCACGGATTTTTGAGTGGGGGGGTCGGGTTTCCGGTCTTCGTCTTGATGGATAGGGGTGTTTTTAGCCACACTCCCGGTTTTTTTCGTGTGCCCGGAGAAAAACCTCGGCGCGCAGCGCCGCGAAAGCAGCGGTATATCTTATTGTACATCAATTTTGCATCGTGCATAAAAATCAAGCAGCGGTCACCTGAGGTCAGGTCACAATGTCATGTCAAGTTCAGTTTTAATGCCTCTTAAAACTGCAATCTTGTCATTCCTACAGATTATCTCCTGACTCCTATAAGTCTGAAATTTGGTGTAATGAATGGGATTATTAGTGCCAACAGTTCATGAATCTGGGATTTTACATCTGAGAAGCGAAGTCAGGTCAACTGGACAAGCACTGGATTAACCTGGCATACGAGGCTCCAGATTGATGCAAGCCAGCCAGTGATCAAAAAGGTCATCCAATTCAAAAAGCTGGGAGCTCGTCAAGAGAGGATCGACCAGGCCACAGAGCCTTCCTAATCCTATCTTATCAGGTATCAGGTATCAGGTCAAATAGGTGTGTGACCTCACCAATCATGATAAGATATGGGAAAAAGCACGATGCCCTCTGCTTTGAAAGAATATGCTAAAAACGCTAGATACTTTTGTAGCCATGGCACCTCGTTCATTTTAGAGATAAGGTGCAGCTAATGACCAGTGGTGACTGAAAAGGTCAGTCATTAGGTCATCAAAGGTCTCTAACACATTTTCGACAACAACTTTTGATGGAGACGTTGTAGAGCGATGACAGCACCTGGAGTGTGTTCAGCTCAGTAACACAGATCGATCCATATGCAGCAGGTTCTTTTCCGGTCAGGTCATGACCTTTACCTGATGTCAAGTTTTCTATTCAAGTTTTTAAGTTCAAATTGTAAGCCATGCGACGTGTTTCGACGAAACAAAAACGATGGTGATAACATGAATATCATACACATTTACTGAATCATAGGTTGTTACAGAACAAATGTTTCGGCAAAATCCGTCCGTTTAGCTGTTTGGACTCTATGGTACACAAGCCATAGACCCGAAGTCATATATGAGGCGAAGTTGGCGAAAGAGCTTTAAAAAGCTATCGAATACGCTTTATGTGTTGCTGTAGCTCTTATTCGTATTTTGCGGGTCGCTAAGGTAAAACGTTTACCAACGTAACGCATAAGGCATGCTTTCGGCCCCTGATCGAGGTAGAGTTTCGCGGAAGAGCGAAAATGCTGCCCGTGATGAGAGAAAGCCGATGATGCCCAATTTCAAGGTCTTGGCCGCGTCATCTTAGGTCAACGCCCAAAAGTAGGAAAAATCTGACCGCCTGCTAGAACTTAGTGAGCCGTAGCTGTTATCGGGGTCCCGAGTACGAGTTCGATGTTAGTCTTGAACAAAGATGATGACTCCATGCATTTTGGGTAGATCGGGTCGGGTCAGGTCAGGTCGACCAGCAGGCTTCCTGCCGGCCATCTAGAGTGGGTGACTGACAACCACCAACGATAGCTTCGTAACATGTTACATAACCATAATTTATCAAAACTACTTCAAACGGTTCAAACGGGCGTTAAACTCGAAATCAGCCCCAAAAAACCACACTTGTAAGTGGAAGCAAATAAAACTCAAAAAAGTTTACCAAGGTCATCCATATTCGAATCAGGGCCAATTTTTTTTAGAATAGGTGTAAAATTCATTAACTCGAGGTCACTGGAAGTTTCGTTGCAATATACTCCTTTTTGCGCGTCTTATTAGGAAAGCCCCAGAGGGATCCACCATCTGACCCCATTTCCCCTATGCAGGCAGGTCCGAGGGTAGCAGGGCTGAGGCTAGCCAGGTACCTCGTAGTTACTGATACGTCATCCGATGAATCGACTGCAACCATTATTTTGACAATCAGACGAACGCTTGGGTCAGTTTTGAAGCGCTCGCTCATTTGAGGCATAAAAAGGGACTAAAATCATATTGTCATGCTGATGTTCTAGCCCACAGCTTATTGACCTATAAGCAATAGGGACTAGGGAGCTCTTGAAGCGATTCTGAATCTGACGTTGTATTTGTTGATGTTGCTGACGCCAACTTCCCTGACATGATAGCTAAAAAAAGCATACTCAGCATCGCCAAAAGTGGGGGGGTCGACCCCCCCGGTTCTGACGAGTGGGGGGGGTCGCGACCCCCCCGACCCCCCCGTCGGCGACGCCCCTGCGTATCAAGCTTCCTGTACTTCAAAATAAACGCATCAGTGGGTCTAAATTGTTTCGACACATGTGCGGTGTGTTGATTAGGTAAGCGTTGAAAATGAAAGGATGAGAGAGGGAGAGAGAGAGAGAAAGAGAGAGAGAGAGAGAGAGAGAGAGAGAGAGAGAGAGAGAGAGAGAGAGAGAGAGAGAGAGAGAGAGAGAGAGAGAGAGAGAGAGAGAGAGAGAGAGAGACCGAGAATGGAAAAAGAGCAATGTAGAAGCTTTGGGGCATCATTTGAATCATATGTCGGTCAGTCATAGGTAGAAGGCTAAGTTAGGTTGTCCAGGTCTCAGACTCACAGGTGTTGACCTCCAAAAGCCTAAATAAACGGCCTGAGGGTTAGAAAATGCCCCACTGTTTTTCAAACTTGTGAAATTCAATACCTACTCTAACATGCACGCCATTTCATCTTAAAGACCATCTCATCCAGAAAGTAATTCTTTGGTTGTGAACACACGAGACGAAATGTAATGGCATGCTTTTTCCAAGATCATACGTTTTTTCCATAGCACTCAATGCGCTGCGTATGTGCCCTCGCTACTGGTCTGCGTTTTAGAGATCTACGTAGCTATTTCCGCTATCCTTGGTTTGTTTACAAATGTTGCGCTCCCAATGCCGCCTCGGGGGATTTAATGGCCTTGGGCGTTGTTTTTCGCATGTTTGGTCGTGAATTTGTGGTAATTTCACTATAATTCGTTGCAAATATGATTCAGATCATTCAGATAAGTCAAGATAAATTTCTGTGAACGAGAAATCAAGGGTATGTACCGATCCCGTCGTTTCTAATTGGCCGAAGCCAAGGCTATATCAATATAAACCAGGCCGTCAGCCACCAGGCCGAAGCCAACGCAAAAAAGCAGGGCGACTTTCGACCCCGGCCCTGTTATTCTTGTTTCTATGGACATTTGTGTTTATCATGAAATTGAATAATGATGCATAGGTATACCATCATTTATCTAAAAATTACCCTTAAATCAATGCGATCCACTTGTGATCAAGTTGCGGACTGGAGCGTGGCAGTCAAGCAATATGAAGACGTAAATATTGTCACGTTTTGAGGTTTCAGTGTGTAGGCTCCGGATAGGCCACACATGTGCTACCCATAAGTTTCTGCTCTGTGGCGCTGAGTGGCCGTTTTGTCCTCAGTGCTGGGAGTATCTTACAGTTTGACACGGGCTAGAAATTAGAATCGTTCCAGGGGTTGTACTTCGAGTGGCTTGTGCTAAGTGGCTCAGAATGTATTGTGAATGGTACAGTTATGAATATTGAAATGCCTGGACCCTGTATAAGTGTCTGCAGCTGCCACAGCTCCAATAAGGCTCAGCCCCCCAGCCATTGGGGCTGTGGCAGTGCAGAACACTTGAACAGGGTCCTGGAGGATTGTGGGCCCAGCTGTGGTGAAGCATTGAATTTGTCAATGATTCAATATTTTTTATATTAACTCACAGATCAGCACCATGAACATCATGAAGAAGTTCTGGGGCTCTGGCGGCTCAGCCCCGGAGGATGCCGTCATGAGCCAGCAGATCGCGCTCAGCCTCACCCACTTGCGGAAGCTGTATGCCGAGTACGTCAGACCGCCACAGCCGCTGACGGAGCCGGAGAGGGAGGCTAAGCTCTACAGTATGCTGCCTCTCTTCTGCAAGGTAGGCTGGGTGGGATGGAGGAGGGAAAAGGTGGAATGATCATGTTGAATTGACTTAGTCTAGCAATGGCGATAGTTCAACTTCATAAGTTTGGTAAATGACCTATAGCTTGATGGTTTTGTGTGCTTACTGCTTAACTATAATTATTTTTTGTATTTTTATGGGATGAATTTAAGTCATAATTGTTTGATGGCTGGAATAGAGCAATGACCTGGGATTTCTCGTTTTTCTTTTTTTTGAAGACAATTTAACAGTGAATATGACAGTACAGATGCTAAGAAGGCATGTTTGCACACCTCAGCAGCAGGCTACATAAACCATAAACACCTTACATAGGTATACCTGATACCTATCAAAAGTACCAATGCTGCTCCACATTTTGAAGAGATTTGTTTTTCATCTTCCATCTCTCGTCCCTCTTTCCCCCTCTCTCCTTTCTCCTTTCTCTTGACTCTGCTTTCTCTTTTCCTTTCCCTCTCTCTCTCACACACAACCTGCTCTCTCTCACATTCTTCCTCTCTCTCTCCCTCTCTCATGCTCTTCCCTTTTCCCATCCCTCTCTCTTCCCATCCAATCCTCCCTTCCTTTCCCTCTCCCCATTTGTTTCCTATGCTCCATTTCTCACCCTCTCCACTCATCCATTTCTCTCTCCCTTCTCACCCTGTTATTTAACCCCCTCCCCCACGCCAGGTATTTGCCGGCTCCTCTGGCCAGGAGATCTGGGACCGGTTCCCTCAGTGCGTCCAGCTCAGCGAGTTTGCCACGAAGCTGATGGTTACGGAGATCAGACGGCGGGCGTTCAACGAGAACACAGCGCTGGCTAGCTGTGAGATCATCAGGTGAGAAAGGCAGGGGTTGTCGGACTTTCGTCCCAGTCTTGAGGTGAGATGTTAGCACTCTGAAGTGGATTGCGAGCTGTGATTGGCAAGTCAGATTGTTTCATTCACTCATGATCGTTAAACATTGAGTTATTGGGAGAGGAGGTTGGTACGGGATGGCTGGGAGAGAAGGTCTGGGGGAGAGTTGGTAGAGAGGGCAAAGAACTGCTGCTGTAGCTGAGCATGAACTATGAAAGAAGAATATAGGTCACAGGGAAGCAGGAATGAAAGGGCGAGGGCCTTTCACTATCGCTAAATTTACCACGTCCTGGCTCTCACTGCACAGTTACTTGGAGATGGGCAGTGCAGAGGAGTCCTCCAACGGCTGGATGCTGCTCAACACTCTGAACCTGCTCAGCTCGGCCGGACCCACCGTTGTACAGGTAAATAGATCCGGAACGCGGACCCTAGACTGTCGTACTGGTTACGGAGCGAGCGAAGCGAGCGTAGTCTTTCCTTAGATTAACGGAAATTTCTGAGTATGAGCGGCCGGCCGGCCGGCCGTGGTCACGCTTTTGCGAGGCTTATATCTCAGCAACCACTTGACCGATTTACACGCGGTAATTTTTGTAGGGTAGCTTCATTCCTTCTACCAAGTATTGGACTATTCCCGATGCATGTGGGTGACCCCTTATGCACGTGCCACGTGCAAAACGAAGAGGTGTCAGTTTTGTAATTGTTGCAATATCTCCGTAACTACTTGGCCGATTGCGCTGAAAGTTGGCATGTAGGTAGGCACCCACTAGGCAATGCATATCCATGTGCCAGAGTTGGGGTGCTGCTGCACGTGTGCACGTGCAGGGGTCGATTCCAGATCTCGAGAACGGCTGCACCGATGGCGCTCAAATTTGGTACATGGCTAGGGACCGGTTAGTAGGGTGCCGTGCAAAAGTCAGTTGGGACCCATTTTGCACGTGCGCACGTGCAGGGTGCCGCTTCCAGATCTCGAGAACGGCTGGACCGATTGTGCTCAAATTCGGCACATCGCTAAAGACCGGTTAGTAGGGTGCCGTGCACAAGTCAACTGGAGGTACCCCCTCGAAATTTCGCACGTGCAAGGGTCACCCTCTCGCTCGCTCCGTTAGTCGCCCCAAAAGGCGTTATACTGGTAAATAGATCCGGAACGCGGACCCTAGACTGCGGTACTGGTAAATAGATCTAGAACGCGGACCCTAGACTGTCGTACTGGTAAATAGATCCGGAACGGGGACCCTAGACTGTCGTACTGGTAAATAGATCCGGAACCGGGACCCTTGGACTGTCATACTGGTAAATAGATCCGGAACGCGGACCCGGGGCTGTCTTACTGGTAAATAGATCCGGATCCTAAACTTTCCGGGCCGTCGTACGGGTATGGCGATCCGGAAGTTGAAGTGTTGTGCACTGGTCTGTGGTAAGGGTAAGGGTGTTCTGATTTTGGACTGTGGTACCGGACGTGAGTTCCTGATCTGGGAAATTTAGTCGGATAGGTAAGAGGAATGTGTTTCAAACGCTAACGACTACCGGTTATCTCAATATCCGACAGCGATTTGTCAAACAGTGCACCACACCATAACACCCACTCTCCCCCTCCCCTCCCCTCTCTCTCTCTCTCTCTCTCACTCTCTCTTTCTATCTCTCTCTCTCTCTCTTTCTATCTCTCTCTCTCTCACTCTCTCTCTCTCTCTCTCTCTCTCTCTCTCTCTCTCTCTCTCTCTCTCTCTCTCTCTCTCTCTCTCTCTCCCTCTCCAGTCGATGGTAGCCGCAGCTCTGCCCTCCACGCTGGTCAAGTGTCTGTACCTGTTCTTCGACCTGCCCGAGCTGGGTACCGACGTGGCGGCCGGCACGGAAATCACCCCGCAGGAGAGCAGGAACCTTCTGCAGAAGGTGTTTGTTCAGGTGAGACAATCACAGTGTTTGTGGTCGAGGTGAGTCGGTGTTTGTCAAGTGTGGTAAGTGTTTGTCTAGGGGAGGAAGTGCTTGGTAGGGTGGGAGTTGTTTGCCCAGTCAAAGAAGTGTTTTGTAGTTGAGACAGTGTTTGTCGAGGCCGGATTAACTCTGAACTTTTATTTTATTATCAGCTCTTACCTGCATTCTGACTTACAATCAACTTATCTGTGATAAAGTGAGAGAATATGTCTCTAACGCCAGGAAACTAAGAATGGTGTAGCTTGTAAGCAAGATCACAAAAATGCACATCCCTGTCAGCGTTTACTATTGGCCAAATGTCAATCACTGCTCAACACCTGTCAGACCAGGTAGTGCCTTTGCGTTAGCTGATTATGTACAAGGTGAGTAAGTGCAACAACCTATTCAGTGTCTGATACGATGTGCATCATGATAACAAGGCTGTTGATAAGGGCTTTGTTAAATCAGTGCTGGTGCAGTGCCATCGTGCGTATCAATCTGTTTGCCGTCCTTATTGACAAAACGACGCCATTTTTAAATTGTTAAATTGACCCCAGCTCTCATGCAGTTTCAGTTGCTCTTAGCCAGAAAGGGATCACTTTTAGGGATTGCTTTTTCTGATGAGAAAAGTATGTATAAATAACCTTATGCTCATTCTTTGCACTTTTTTGTTGAAATTGAATAATTAAACAAAATCATTGATATATTTCGGCTTGCGCCATCTTCAGAATGTACAGAAACAATTGTCGACACAAACAAACAAAATTCGATTCCATCAATCAATAAATCGTGCAGCGCTTCAATCAGCTCCTTGATGAGAGAATAATTTCATATATACATGGCTCTCGAAATAACGATGCGCCGTCCATGATACCTACGATACATGTACAATATACAACACACAAGATCAATATACAATACAAAATAACAACATAGAATCTGCATGAATCATCACATTGTTTGGCGCAGCCTAAATCAACGGCACAATCAGACAGTAGTTGTCACAATCAATTTGTGGATATGTACAATATAGTTATGTGGGGGTGTACGATGGACGCTGCAGAAGTGGCCAGGATGAAGTTTGGGTGTTCAAACATGGTTTTTGGTTCCTTATTTCCACTGATTCGGATATTTTTAAATCAGCGACGTCTTTACACACTCTTTCAATGGAGATTTTGAATTGTGCCGTTGATTTAGGCTGCGCCAAACAATGTGATGATTCATGCAGATTCTATGTTGTTATTTTGTATTGTATATTGATCTTGTGTGTTGTATATTGTACATGTATCGTAGGTATCATGGACGGCGCATCGTTATTTCGAGAGCCATGTATATATGAAATTATTCTCTCATCAAGGAGCTGATTGAAGCGCTGCACGATTTATTGATTGATGGAATCGAATTTTGTTTGTTTGTGTCGACAATTGTTTCTGTACATTCTGAAGATGGCGCAAGCCGAAATATATCAATGATTTTGTTTAATTATTCAATTTCAACAAAAAAGTGCAAAGAATGAGCATAAGGTTATTTATACATACTTTTCTACTTATGATGATGCTCAAAGATGCCATTGCTCGCCTACAACAATTTTTCTGATGACATTATTTTTGTACCGCTTTGCTCTTTATTGACAAATCATGGTTTGGATTGGTATTCAATGTGCATTTTCTCGCCTGTTAACACAAACAAAACTTTGTTTTTTTTTCGTAACCTTTCTCCCCTGTTCTTCCTTTTCCCCACTTCATCCCCTTCCGAGTCGAGCCTGATTATTATTCTTAGCAAACATGCTGTCGTTCAGAACATAATCTCCTCTTGGTTTCTCACACATTTTCCGTGTGTGGGCCCTCCTTTCCTCTCCCCCTCCCCACCCCCTCCCAAACCCCACACTACCACACAGTACCCCTCATGACGTCACGCCCGTCCGCCGTCAGCTGATGAGCCGTCTCTGTACGAGTCCCTGCGCGGCCGACGAGCTGGCCCGACGGGACGACCTCAGTCTGCTCTTCTCGGCAATGACGTCATCATGTCCGGCCCATAACGTCAGCTGGCGGAAGTCTGCCAGCGAGGTGCTGATGGGTCTGAGCAGGAGCGGTCTCAGCCAGAACACCATCAACTATATACATAGTGAGTGTCAGGGATACAACGCCATCAATTATATACACAGTGAGTGTGGTAGATGACAATATTGTTCAATTTACAAAGATCAATATCTCTTGAGCGTGCATTTATTTAAGCCCCACCACAAACTGAAAGGTAAATGAAGACAGTATGAGTAAGGCATAGCACGGGATGCATAGCGCGGGATGCACATGCACATGCCAAACACATGCGGAAACCAGAGACACATGCGCATGCTCAAGACCGTGCACATTTACGTATACATATACAGCACATCAGGAATGTAAACAATTAAACTAACAATCATCCCCTTATCTATTTTTGTTCAATACGCGAGTCACAACAAAACAGGTCTTCAACGACACCTCCTTCAACAACGATACCGTAGTCATCCTCATAGTGACACCTAACCCGATTCACAGAATACCCGTCTTCAGCACGTCTAACAGAGCATTGGAAGATGCCGTCCTCTTGGTCAGACTGTCTGCCAGCTGCTGAGAACTGTCGACCCAGCAGACCCTGGTCACCTCGCCAACTTCCAACATCTGCCTAATCCTGGCTATGTCAATCCGAAGTCTCTTGTCCTGCACCGCCTTGGTCGAGTACAGTGCCCTGTACAGTCCTCTGCTGTCTATATAGCACATCACACTCATGTCTCCTGACCCGTCATACAGTGCCTCAGAAATCAGCGCAGCCAAAAGGACAGCTGCATCAGCACCATCTTGAAGTGCCATGCACTCTGCAGCCAACGTACTTCTCACAATGCGCTTGATCTTTGCTGAAGACCAGGCAAGTGGCGCGCATCTTCCCCTTTTGTCTCTAAGGAACACAACGTATCCTCCCTGCGAGGACCCATCTGGAAGATTGCCGTAACTCGCATCGCTGTACACTACCACCGAGCTCTGTGACAAGTCCAGATGAGGATATTTCAGACTAACTCGCGCCGACTGAGCCTTTCGAACTACCTTAGCAGCCCTTTGTAGATCAGCTACCTTAGGATCCCTAATGGAACAAGAGAGATCACAAACATCAAATGAAAGATCTGGTCTTGTCTGCGTGGCCAGCCAATTGATTTGTCCTGTCACGCCACGGAGGCGGGTAAGCTCTGCAGGGCCCAATCTCACCAAGTGCGGTAAACTCAATTTGGGGTAAAATACCAAACTACCCCACTCCGTAACTACAAAAATACTACCCCGAAATTAGTTAAACTAGCTTGGTGAGATTGGGCCAAGTGTCCAACCTCACCAAGCTAGTTTAACTAATTTCGGGGTAGTATTTTTGTAGTTACGGAGTGGGGTAGTTTGGTATTTTACCCCAAATTGAGTTTACCGCACTTGGTGAGATTGGGCCCTGCAGAGCTTACCCGCCTCCGTGGCGTGACAGGACAAATCAATTGGCTGGCCACGCAGACAAGACCAGATCTTTCATTTGATGTTTGTGATCTCTCTTGTTCCATTAGGGATCCTAAGGTAGCTGATCTACAAAGGGCTGCTAAGGTAGTTCGAAGACACTTCTAGACACATGTGACCCTGCGAAGAGGGTGTTGGCCGCCTGGCCGAGCCCTGGTTCTGCGACTGTATCCACGGGCTCGACTTTTACTGCCACTCTCGCTGACGGCACACCCTGAGAACTACTGTCTGTGAAGATCTTCTTCAGCTGGGTTTGCATGTTTGCATATGTGAGCGACGGCAGAGTTGCCCTTGCTAGCTGTTGATGTGCATCTGAAAGGTTAGCACTGCGAATGAGTCTGTACGCTAGAACACCATCAGGCAACTCCAGCTTGTAGTGCTTTGCCTTCTGATACAGTCTTTCAAATGTGTTGATGTACTCAAACACAGACATGCCAGATGGTCGCTCATATCTCTCGAACGCATCATATGCCTCAAAGGCTGCATTGTTCTCATCTTTCAAGAACAACTCGTCCAACTTCTCTATGAGAGCATCAAGTCCAGTATCACTGTTCAGAATCTCTATTGACACCTCACGTGCTGCATCTCTGGCAGATCCACTTAAGGACAGGAACAGTGCTGGTCCCAACTTGGACTTCTCCAAGCTAGTGAAAGCTTTCCACACTTTGATCTCATGCTTCCACTCTGAATATGGCAAATCTTGACGCATAGGTGGTGGGGCTTTGAAATCTCTAGATGCCATCTTGTAACCACGCTCTGCTACCAATGTTCAATTTACAAAGATCAATATCTCTTGAGCGTGCATTTATTTAAGCCCCACCACAAACTGAAAGGTAAATGAAGACAGTATGAGTAAGGCATAGCACGGGATGCATAGCGCGGGATGCACATGCACATGCCAAACACATGCGGAAACCAGAGACACATGCGCATGCTCAAGACCGTGTACATTTACGTATACATATACAGCACATCAGGAATGTAAACAATTAAACTAACAAATATGACACAGCTTAGTAGTGGGGATGATAGTGAACACTACATACCAACAACACATATTTATGAAATTTTCAAAAGCGTTAACACGCGCAGTGGAAGGGTTACGACTGAGTACTACGCCCAGTGGATGGGGGGGGGGGAGGGGGCGAATATCGCCCTTCTAAGATCTCAGTTCCCACTGGAGCTACAAAGACGAATTTTGGAGGGTAGGTGGGGCCCTAGGGAACTATGTTGTGTGTGAATTTCACGACCCTAGGTCAATATCTTCAAGTTCAAATGATTTCAAATGTCAAATCTGCCATATGAGCGACTTTTTTGCGTTTACACGCCGATGACTTAAAGTTACCGGCTGATTTTCTTTTTCACTCACTATACGAAAGAACATACATTTGTGAGTGTGTATGGTGAATTTCTAGTTAATCCAACAATGAATATGACAGTTAGGGCCTGTTCCAGCGCTTCCAGAAAGCTCCAGAAAGCTCTCGCCAAAGCCCCAGAAACCTCCAGTAGCCTCCAGAGAGTTGGGAGGTCCACATTTCTCTGGAGGCTCTGGTCTGCAATTATGGAGCACATGTGACAATCACGAATGTGAACAAAGTACTTTTTACTGTATGATACGTGTTTGTCATACACATCGACATTCACGCGGATGGTGGCCAGCATCCCCGACATTGTTCTCCACTTTCTTGCCCTTGGCGAGACTCGGCGTCTCTGCAGATTCAGAACAGAATATTGCAGATGGGTGGCAGCCGTGTTTTTCAACCGACTCCAATTGGTCGCGATTGATCAAATCTATGAGGGAATCGTCCATTTAACCTTGGTGTGTCTGCCAGCCCTGCAGTCGGCAGACTGTTGTAAGCTCGCGCTTTATTCCCTGCTCTTCGCTCTCCCTCATTCCTTCTGTCCATCTCTCTCTCTCTCTCTCTCTCTCTCTCTCTCTCTCTCTCTCTCTCTCTCTCTCTCTCTCTCTCTCTCTCTCTCTCTCTCTCTCTCTCTCTCTCTCTCTCTCTCTCTCCCTCTCTCTCCTTCTCTTTCTCTCTCTCTCTCTCTCTCTCTCTCTCTCTCTCTCTCTCTCTCTCTCTCTCTCTCTCTCTCTCTCTCGCTCGCTCGCTCTCGCTCTCTCTCTCTCTCTCTCTCTCTCTCTCTCTCTCTCTCTCTCTCTCTCTCTCTCTCTCTCTCACCCTTTCCTCTCCCACACTCACGTCCCCCCCAATTCTTCCCTATCTCTTTTCTTCTCACTATTTTCTTACTTCTTCCCATTACTCACTTCCCTTCCTCACCTCTCTCCCACCGTCCCCCACTCCCCTCCCCTCCCTTTCTCCCCCTCACTCACTCCGTTTTTTTTTTCTCTCTCAGATAACGGCTGCGTCAGTCTGTGCGTGGACAACATGCGTGCGGCGGATGACCTGCCGCCCCTGGAGACGGTCGAGATGTTCGTCAGCCTCTTCTGCTTCCTCAAGGACTCTGCGGACGTGTCACAGGTGCTGCTGGCAGACCTCCGCTCCAGCCAGGGCTACATCTTCCTCGGAGAGTTCCTGCTCAAGTAAGAACTCGCGGCGTTGGATCTAGTTGACATGCGACTTGGTTGTTGCGGCTCTGACGACTGTTGCGACTACAGAGCCATCTGTATGGGTTGACACTTCTAGGTGCATTGAATGCTGATTCATGTAGTGGGTGCTAGTTGGTGATTGGTGAAGCTCCTACCCAGCAGCCTCGCCTGATAAGGGGATGGTTAAGTTTTAAAGATTTGTTCCAATATTTTGGCGGTCTGAAATTCGTTACTCGGCTGAGATTCGCATGATTTCTGTCGATTCAGGCATGTCTTTCACTAGATTGAAATAGATAAATTGCTGTTTTGATTACGTCTTGGGCTTTCCATTCCAGCAATTGGAACAAAATCGATCTCTCCGCAATCATTTCGTCTTAAAATATCCGTCACGAAATACCGCTCCTGCCGCTTGTCTCTGCTGTCTTTTTCCGAAACTCCCCCTCTCCCCCTCCCTCCGTCAGATCGCTCGTTCTTCTTTTCTCTTTCACAAACTATCGTCTCCTGAAACACCCCCCCCCCTCCGTCAGACTGGAGCAGGACTCGGCGCCCGAGTCGACGGACGCCGCCCGTAACCTGGTGCTCCTGCTGGCCTCGCTGGCTATGTGTGGCCACACCGAGCTACAGCCGTCCCAGGCGGCCGCCGGCACCCCGTTCAAACTGTCCGGTTTCTCCGTGCCGCAGCCATCCGGTCTCGGTGAGTGTGGGAGACTATGACTATGACTGTGTGTGAGACTAGGGTGAGTGTGTCTGGCAAACCTAAGAAGGAAAGGAGTTAAAGGCCTGAATCATTTTGCATGTGTTTTGAGCTGACTGGAAATGTATGGCTTGGAGAAGTCTTGTCAAAAGTTGTGAGAGAAAATACGCTCTCACAATATAAATGCACATGCATTTTGCATGCATCAATGACCGCAGCACTTTATCCATTCCTTCTTAGGTTTGCCAGACTGTAGCGTTCCTTTCCCTATCCCTCTTCCCTTGGGGATGGGGAGAGGGCTGTTAGCTGGGAGAGGGTTGTTAGATGTAGTTAGTTGGGAGCAGACTTGTGCCAAGGTCCCAAAAAGATCCGAGATCCAGGGTTCGCAGAGTCCAAGGTCTGGGACCTTGATGGATCCTGGACCTTGCATTGTCATTTTTGTCGCGAGACCTTGGAAACCCAGGACCTTAAAACATCCATATGCCGCGAGACCTTGGAATCCCAGGACCTTAAAACATCCATATGCCGCGAGACCTTGGAATCCCAGGACCTCAACATTTGCATATGTCGCGAGACCTTGGAATCCCAGGACCTCAACATTTGCATATGCCGTGAGACCTTGGAATCCCAGGACATCAACATTTCATGTGACATGAGACCTTAGAAACCCAGGACCTCAACATTTCATATGCCCTAAAACCATGGAAACCCAGGGGTTAGGACCTCAAAATTTTGGTATGCTGCAAGACCCTGCAGATTGCAGAATGCAGACCTTCAGTACCAGTTTTATTATTTGTCATGGGATCTTAGGAGAACGTTCTGGGCCTACACCATCATTTTGTTGAGGGACCTCAAGAATCCTGGAAGCTGGACCATGAGGTTTATGTTGCACATGGGCCACTAAGGACCCTGCACTAGGTTTTGTCTGTAAGCACTTCAATAAATATCTATGGTTGAGCGACCAGCTGCAAGGGGCTAGATAGCTACACGAAGAGAACGAACCAGACTGTGTAGACATATACCTATAGAGCAAAATCGTTGCCATGGCTGTGAGGCAGAACTGGAACAAAAGACCTGGTAGCTTTTTACATTATCAATGAACATGGATTATGAAACTGTCAAACAGCAACAGTGGACAGTGGTGGTTTGGAAAGTTCTTTTCTAATCTCACCTCACATATTTTCTGGGTTGTGATATGCCGGGCTTGAAGCTACTTGGAAGCTACCCACTGACCAAGTAAGTGTCAAACTTATTTGTTTTGCAATTCATCAAATCACCATTGAGCAATGAGCAATATAAGCAATGATTCCATGACAGTTCAACTTTTTCGTTTAGCAGGTTTTCGTCGGACAATTTTTCGTCTGCAGATTTTCGTCCGCAGACTTTCGTCTATGCATTTGTTCCTCTGTGCATTTTTAAGTCCGCGCATTATTTTCATAAGGACATTTTCCGCCTTGTCCAGACGAAAAAATGCCGGACAGAAATATACTCAGACGAAAAATGCACCAAATTAATTCGAACAGACGAAAAAATGCAAGACGAAAAAGTCAGACGAAAATCTGCCGACGAATAACCGGCTGACGAAAAAATTGTCAGATGGAATTTTGTTCAGAGCCTTCAATCTAATGAGAATGAACAGTAAGTAAGGTTTACGCTCGCTGATACTCGAATTCTATTGGCTTAGTCGATCAGTTTTTCTGTGAGCGCTCGCGCAAACAAGACTTAGAACATATTTTACTTTTTATCCTAGGTATTATGTAACTGAGATGTGCAGAAAATCGAAAGCATATACCTATCCAATTCAACTTTTCCATTTCTATGAAGCCTGTAGGTTTTATTTCTGGTTTTTTATATTGCCTGAAAGAATACTTGAATGTCTGTCTTCAATAGTGTAAGGTGCTGTCCTACATGCCTACTGATAAGGTAAGATTGAATTGAAAGGGACATGACAATACAAATTGCAAGGTACCTATTACCTACCTATATTTTTTATTAATTTGTCAGGTTAAAGAAGGAGATATTGATATTATGATTCATTTTTAACTTGCTGTTGAAGCTCCCCCTACCTATGTTGGTTAACGATAAAACCACCACAGTCCACAGGTTTGCATAGGTTCTGCCCCTTTCAATGTTTCTGGGCATCCGTTGGCAGAATATTTAGAAGTAAGTCTGCTCATCAGAATGTTAGTTTGTTTAAGTTCTTGTTGTGGGACCATGAATACTTTGGATCCTGAGATGTATTCTTGCCGTGGGACATTGAGGACTGTGGACCTGAACTCTGAAGTGTGTACTTGTCATGGGACCTTGGGGACTGTGGATCCTGAAATTCACACTTGTCGTGGGACCCTAGGGACTGTGGATCCTGCAATGCATTCTTGTCGTGGGACCTTGGGGACTGTGGATCCTGCAATGCATTCTTGTCGTGGGACCTTGGGGACTGTGGACCCTGCAAAGTATACTTGCTATGGGACCTTGGAAACCTTGGATTCTAGAAATTGAATTTGCCGTGGGACCTTGGAAACCTTGGATTCTAGAAATTGAATTTGCCGTGGGACCTTGGAAACCTTGATTCTAGAAATTGAATTTGCCGTGGGACCTTGGAAACCTTGGATTCTAGGAATTGAATTTGCCGTTGGACCTTGGAAACCTTGGATTCTAAAAATTGAATTTGTCGTGGGACCTTGAGGATCCTGGATCTTGATTTTTGATCCCGGCACAAGTCTGGTTGGGAGTAGTTAGTGTAGATAAGTGAGTATGAGGAGTGGGTAGGGTCATGGCGAGGGATGGCTAGAGTCGGTGGGATTGGGTGGATGGATGAATGACAAGCTGCTCGTCCCTCCGCTGCTCTCCTTTTCACAAATGTACCCATATTGTTTCATTTAAATGTAAGACCGCGAAAGCCACTCTGCACGTGGGTTTATACATATTTGAACGTGCGATTAGACGGTCAGGCCACCTCAACATGCACGGTTGATAAGCAATCTGTGTGAGGCTGCGCGGTAGTCTCGGAGCGTCTAAGCCCAGCGTCAACCGGCGTCAAGCCGCCGTTCCGGTCACACACGTTTGTCACAGCAAATGCCTCCATAGCTCAGTGTGGAGTGTGGACCCTCATTTCGATGGCGATGGTTAAATGAACGATGATGGATGACCATCGGGCGTCCCATGGCGTCCTAATCCGTCCTGCTCGAAAGCCCTGCCCACCTCTTGAATGTGTCAACAAGCCAACCGATGACAGCTCACCACGGACTGTGACAAGCAATCTGTGTAGCAACTAGCACCGCTGCAATGGCCGCCCTCAGGTCATTTGGAGTCGAACCGCCGTCCCAGTCAAGTCACAACGTAAGCGATTGTTGTTATTCACGTTTTCATAGCTCAGCGCGGACCCTCAGTTCGTTGGAGATTGTTGAATGAATGATGATGGGTGACCTCCGGCCGTCCTATCCCGTCCTGAACTTCCTGCTCTGTTTCAATGCCCTGCCCACCTTTCAAACGCCCCTGAAAGCAAACAAGATACCCCGACGGACTGATAAGCAATCTCTGTGCAACAGGCGCTGCAAGTCATTCGTCGCCGTACCGCAGTTACAGTAACATTAACGCGGTGCCACCCTTGTCCGTAACTCAATATAGCTACCCATTATGGGGATTATCACCTCAGTGATCATATTTCTGATTGTGTTGACCGTCGGCCGGCATGTGATCTCCGCCACCGACTGTCGAGAGTCCAACTGCGAGTTTGTTGTGCGGGAAGAATGTCAGAACTCCGGGTCAGTAATCTGCAACATGAAAAAACGGCCATTGAAACAGGTGGGTGGAGCAGATAAATATGACGATGAGCGATGGCCGATGATGATGTAGCTGTTAATGCTAACGATAATGATGATGATGATTGATGTTGATGCTGATGGTTGATGCTGCTGATGATGATGATTGATGCTGATGTCGATGTTTGATGATGATGGCTGATGCTGATGATGATGGCTGATGCCGATGATGATGATGATGATGATGATGATGATGATGATGATGATGATGATGATGATGATGATTGATGTTGTTGTTGTTGTTGTTGTTGTTGTTGTTGTTGTTGATGATGATGATGATGATGATGATGATGATGATGATGATGATGATGATGATGATGATGATGATGATGATGATGATGATGATGATGATGATGATGATGATGATGATGATGATGATTAGTGCTGATGCTGAGATTGATGATGATGTTAATGATTGATACTGTTGATTGATGTTGATGATGATGATTGGTGCTGATGTCGATGGCTGACCTGATGCTGATGGCTGATGCTGATAATTGATGCTGATGGCGGTGGCTGATACTGATGATGATGATAATGATGATGACGACGACGACGATGATGATGATTGATGCTGCTGCTGATGACGATTGATGCTGATGCCGATGTTTGATGATGATGCTGATGGTGCCTGATGCTGATGATGATGGCTGATGCCGATGATGATGATTGATGATGATGATGATGATGGTGATGGTGGTGGTGACGACAACGATGATGATGATGTTAGAGGCTTCATGTCTCTGTTCCAGATAAACATCACGGCAGCATCGTTTCCGAGAAGTGTGCAAGAAATCAAAATATCATATGCTGAGACCATTACGATCAGTGCGGACTCCATCGCCTCTCTGACACTCCTGGAGATCATCAAGATCACCAACGTCAACACCTTGATCCTGCTGCCCAGGTCTCTGGCGCGTGGCGGCAACTCCAAACGGATCATCGTGAGTATACGCGCAGTGAAGAGTCTTCAGCTGCACTCCATGGTATTCGAAGACTGGAGAGGAAGCTCAAGAATCACCATAACAGACGTGGATGACTGTCAGCTGCTACCGTTTTCCGCTGCTAAGACACAGTTTGGCAACTTAGCTTTGAACAGAATGCAATCACTGGCTGTTCATGAAAGCGCCTTCAGCAATGATTCCCGGATATATAAAATTGACATGATGGGTATTAAATCACTTTCGATATCAAAGCAAGCATTCACGTCAAATGTCATAGTGCGCAAGACATGGATCGAAGACATCGAAAACCTCACAATATACTCAGGTGCACTGTCCCGAAACTCGAGACTGAAGGAGGCCGAGTTGAAACGAGTGAAGTACCTCAACATTGAACCGGGTGGCATTCAGGCAGACATTGGTGACCTGAGAGTAAAAGACGTTGAAATGCAAACGTGTGGTGAAAACACATTCGGGGGCAAGATTGGATACTTATCCCTGAGCTCGATGCATATCCATCGTGCTACAGAACACTGCATATCAGCTGGCAACGGAATGAAGAAACTGGTCATTGAGAGCAGCCGATTTGACAACACTGAAACATCGGCCATCTACGGGAAAGTCACGGAAGTCAACATCAAGAACAGCATGTTCGGAACGATAAAAAGGGAAGGGCTGCAGCTTAATGTTATAAAGTTCTCCATTGAGAAAAGCACTATCGATGAAGCGTCAGAGGAAGCATTTGTGGTGCTTTCTGACAGCACTATTACAATCAGGAATTGCACAATTGATGTTCTGCAAAAGGGAGCCTTCAGCTCGCTAAGTGTGAAACAAGGAAGCGGCACAGCTAGACGGATTCTGTTAGACAATCTCCACATCAAATATCCACAGAACGGTTCGCTGCAGTTTAAACAGAACCAAGGAGTGATAGTGCATGACCTGACACTGGACATTCCCTGTACGTGCTACATAGCGACAGCGCTGGGACTCGATGTATCTTCTGAGAACAAGTTCTTGATAGACCAGCCTCTCTGTGTGATGAAGGGCAGACGGCCGCCACTGGGCCACTACCTGAAGGAGTTCTGTGCGGAGCCCACCACCACTCCACCGCCCACTAATCCGACCAACCTGCTCAGAGGAGGCAGACCACCACTGCGAGGCACGCCGCCACTGCGAGGCAGCCCGCCACCGCGAGGCGGACCGCCACTGCAGGGCAGACCGCCACTGCTGGGAGGGCCGCTACTGCCGTCACAGACAGCCGGTGAATTAGATATCCAGGACCAACAAACGATATCTGAGACCGGGGACCAGACTCCCGGCGATGGCTCAGACCAGACGTCCGACGATGGTTTAGACCAGACGTCCGGCGATGGCTCAGACCAGGTCCGCACCGGCTACACCTTCAAGGATATCCCAGTTGCTACCATCACTGTCGCGGTCTTGATGGTGCTAGCCGTCATCGCATTTTTCGTTCGACGTCAGTTTAAACAACGGTCGCGTGCTGAAGGACAAAATGAAGGCCGACGTAGACGAACAAGATTTCGCCGTCGCTCGCGAGACGTCGGACTCCATCAAATGACAGAGATTGTCACGAGAGCCCCGCTGGAATCCCCTGAAACTCGTCCTACTCACGGAGAAGACTCACCTCGACCGATCGGCGCGCCGGTTTACGAGGTAGTCGAGCCAGTCGACATCAACTCTCACACACCAGATCAAGGTGTTCCAACAAACCAGGCCGGTGCCGGGTTCGCCGGAACACACAACACACGAGTAACACATCCAGAAAGTAGAGCTCAGCACGTCTCCTTTATGCCTTTACCGCCACCTCCGCCAACGGAAGCGCTTGAAGAGTGTGCGCACGGTCAGGAAGATGATGCTGATGATGATGTATATGAGACTGTCGAGGCGCCTTACCAGGAAATAGCCGAATGTCATCAACAGATGGAACAGGGAGGGCCCGCAGCAATCGGGCCCGGGTCTCTCACACCCTCACCCTGCCACTATCACCGGCTCAACCCAACCCAACATCACCACCAGTGCCTGAAATCCACGACACACTATGACCATCTCATACACCTACCATGACATCGCGCCGTCACCCAGAAAACCCAGCAGCCGCATTTCAACTCACCTGGCAAGGTATACAAAAATGTACCAGGAGATGAGGGCAGATTTTGTAGCACAAGGTCTCGCTCAGAGCCGTGACCCTCTGGCTGGCCCAGGGCTGGTTCCTTACCTCGTTCGCGGTGTAGCTCAGTGCTCAGATGAATCGTGTTTAGCTCAATGTTAGCTGTAGATACCTGTGTATATATTTGTTGTGTCTATTGTAACCTGTTGGCTGGTATTAAGGTGTTTGTCGCAATAAAATATTTGCTTACGATGAAGTAGCGGCTATGCGAATCACCAAGATGGTGACAGTCATGTTTGACGCTCTTTCGAATGGCGCTTACCGCGTGTCGCTACGTGGCCCAGGAGCCGAATTAGACGGGGGGGGGGAGGGCGTGAAAACGCCCCCCCTCCTTTTTCTCCAGCACGATACGGAAATCTCAGACCACCAGCACGGCGCGAGTAAGTCACCTTAGTAGCAGCCATTTGATAAAAAACATTTTAATGGGATGGAGAGGAACCTAGTGAGAGCATATTGTCGGGACCAATGTTCTGTCTTACCCTACATTGCTCTCGATTTTATGAACAAGTTCTTTGAATATTACGATCAGACGATCAGGTGACCGAGACACTCAGCACGCCATTGATGAGCAATCTGTGTGAAGCCATTCGTCAGTCCCCGAGCGCGTGAGTCCTATCTTTCGACGTCAGGCCGCTGTCCCCGGCACACGCACGACGTGATAGCACCCTTATCCATGGCTCAGTGCGGATCCGCCGATCGATGAACAGAACGATGATGGATGACCACCGGACGTCCTAATGAGTCCTATTCCGTCCTCCGCAAAAGTCATATCCACCTCTTGATTGTGTCAACAAACCAACCAATGACAGCACAGAACGAGCTGTGAAAGGCAATCTGTGTAGCACCGCTTCAATGGCCGGAGTTTCGATTTCTTTGGCGTCGAACCGCCGTCTCAGTTACACGTGTACGCAATTGTTATAATTCACGTTTTCGTAGCTCAGCGTGGACCATTAGTTCGTTGGACATGGTTGAATGAACGATGGTGGATGACCAACAGGTGTCTTGTCCCGTCCACATCTCCGTGCTCTGCTTCAATCTCCTGCCCACCCCTAGAGCGCACCAAAAAGCAAACCAGATAGCCCGACGACTGATAAGCAATCTCTGTGCAACAGGCGCTGCAAGTCATTCGTCGCCGAGCCGCCGTCTTAGTCACACGGGAATGCGAAAGTGCTCTTGTTCGTGGCTGAATGCAGCTACCTATTATGGGGATTATCTCCTTAGTGATCTCATTTCTGATTGTGTTGACCGTCGGCCGGCATGTGGTCTCCGCCATTGACTATCAATATTCCATCTTGAATGCTTTTAAATGTCCGGTGAAGTGTTATCATGGACAGCCTTTTAAACAGGTGAGACCTTACCTGTTTGCCCTTCTGTTCCTGTATTATTATTTGGAGTCCGATTGACGAAAATTCAGTTATTCATTTATTCATTCATTTATTCTTTCACTCTTTCATTCAGTCGTTCATTCAGTACCTATTTTTTTTTTTGTATTCATTCCCCCCATGTATCAGTGTCTGTCTCTGTCTTACCTTTTCACCAAGCAACGCATCCGCAATCATTTGAAGGCCAAACAGTGTCATAGTTTTTTTTTCTTGCGTGAGTTTTACACGCAGTGTTAGACCTACTGTAACATTGTTCACCGTACAGTGAACAAGTCCTTAATTCTCTCTTACCCACGTTTTCGTCCTTATTTAAACATACACTAATTATTTCAGTATAATCTTTCAGGAAGTGTTATCATTTCTTCCTCTTCCCTGCTTAGCTACTTATTACATCCCTACTGCATTATTCTTTTAACTCTTAGCTTATCCTCCCCCTCTTCTCTTTCTCCTTTTCTCAGGCACCAGCGTGCGGAACGTGCACGCGTTCCAGGTGCTGCAGACGGTGTTCCTGCGCGCGACCTCCTCCTCCCTGTGCTGTGTCATCCTGGACACCATCTCCAGTGTCTACCACGCCGACCGAGCCAACTACTTCATACTGGAGAGCCAGCACACCATATCGCAGTTCGCCGAGAAGATACATCAGAAACCCAAAGAGGCGCAGGTATGTTCTTTGGGGAGGATGGGGGTGGAAGAGAGGGCATGGTTTTGGGGATATGAGGAATTAAGGAGGTAAGTTTGAAGATGAAGAGGGACCACTAGAGCATTGATAAAACACTTTTTGTCAATATGGGACTGAGATCCAGTGAGATTTATATGGGACCAAAATAAAGAAAAATATCGTTGATCTTCCATCCTCGCGCCGGCGTATGGGTGATTGTTTTCTCCGTCTTTTGTACAGAATTACCTGGCTGATTCGATTGTCCCTTCTCTCTGCCTCCAGGACAAGTTTTTCCAGCTGCTGGAGCTGGTGGTATTCCAGCTGAACTACGTGCCCGTCAAAGAGCTCATCTCCTGCAGTATTCTGCTCAAGCAGCACTGCTCCGTAGACTGCAGCCTGCGCTGCATGGAGTCTCTCCTCAGCATTCTCAGGTGAGAACCGGGCGCGTTCTCAGCACTGTTGAGACAACTGTGTATGAAGTCACTGCTCACCATTCTCAGGTGAGAACTGTAGGAGTTCTCAGCCTGCGCTGCATGGAGTCCCTTCTTAGCATTCTCAGTTGAGACTGCAGGAGTTCTCAGGCTGCGCTGTGTGGAGTCGCTGCTGGGCATTCTCAGGTGAGAATTGTGGGAGGTCTCAGTATGCTGCTCAGCATTCTCAGGTGAGAAGCGTGGAAGTTCTCAAACGGTTTCTGGAGTCGGCGCTCGGCATTCTTAGGTGAGAGTTGTAGGAGGTCTCCGCTGAGACCTGCATCGAGACCTGTGCTTGGAGTCTCTGCCCAGCATTCTCGCGTTATAGTTGTGGAAGTTCTCATGATATGGCGTAATTGAGTCGCTGCTCAGCACTCTCAGGTGATAGAAGAACCATGGCAAGTCTCAGCACTGACGAGCTGACATCCGTGTTTGGCGTCATCTCTACTGTTCTCACACTCTGTAGCTTCCAACCAACATCGCCACCACTCTATTCTGACACCCCCGTGACGTCTGTGTGCTGCAGGTTCAGCCCCCTATTCAAGGACGTGTACCGCGAGGTGGGCATTCTGGAGGTGCTCGTCCAGTGTCTGGCGCGGTACGCCGACATTCTCAAGTCGAGAAGACAAAGTGAGGAGGATGGAGACGGTGAGGAAGACGGAAAGAATGTAGACTGGTGAAATGATACTAGGAGAGGTAAAAGTAGAAGACTTTTAGGGACTGATGGGGAGATCAAACTCTGAGGATTGATGGGGTAAAAAGGCTCTGCCGGAGACAATACTGGAGGGTGGGGGGATGGAGAGGCGAAATTGTGGGAGGCTGGGGGAGGAGGATGCTGTGATAGAGAGACCGGGAAAGAGCGCGGTTGTATGGGGTTTGTTTAGATGATACGGGAAGAGTTTGAAATCGCGACGTGCGAGACATTCAGGCAAACAATTTTGGCGACGGTGCCATCGTAGCATACATATATCTGTTGAGTGACACATCTACAGACTGGTGTCGACTGTCCATATAGTCGATATCAGCTTTGCCAAGGGATGGGGATTTCCAACCCATCCTAGATAGATCGGGAGAATATTGTGTGAAATGTCTGTCATTGATACATTTTATGAACCCCGAAAACTGGCGCATTATCTTCCCAGATTTCAAATTAACCGTTGCGCTAAATGAAATAAGATGTCGGGTATGCCTTGGATGACTGACTGTCCCCCTTCCCCTCCCCCTGTCTCCGCCAGAGTACGACCTGCCGGGCCCGCAGTCGGCGCTGGGCCGGCGGACCATGGAGACCTTCACCGTCCTGCTGGCCGGCAGCGCCGCCAACGCGGCCGTGTTCAGAGAGTCGGGCGGATCGCAGCGCGTTCATGAGATGCTGGTGTACCCTGACTGTTCGCAACAGGCGCTCGGTAAGAGCGGGATTGGGGGAGGGGGAGCGGATGCGATTCGCTGTCCGGTACCTTACATCGTTGCTCATAAATCGTTGCATTGCTGCTAACTTGCATCTTGTATGTTGCATCGTACAAGCACGTACAAGTATTGTATCGTTGTTTTGCATCGTTTACTGTTACCCTCACACATTCGATGTAACGTTATATGCAGTTTGCAAATCGTTTTTACCGACCGCATCGCGGAGCGTTTTACGCTAATCCTGGTTCTGATTGGCTTTACTATAGGTAATAATAGACCATGTCTTTTCTATCCTCAGGCATTCTGCAGCAGCTGATGCTATGCGCTGGGGGCGAGAGCGAGATGGGCAGCCTCCTAGCACTCATGGAGAACGCGCCCTTCTCTCAGATCGGCCTCAAGATCGATATCCTCAAGGTTTGTGTCGAGAGACAATGAGGACATCGTAGTTTTGTTCATCTGCCATCTGCTGTCATTATATTGTCGTATGCGTTTCTTGCATCAAGTTAACCCGAACGTGAAATTATCGTGTTTATCTGTGTCTTTAAGAAAATTTTAACTTACAACGCCGTTTACTGCTGCAGTAGCTGCTGAAAAAATGGGCGCACGACAACCCCGGTTTCTACGCGCCGTCTATCCCCAACAAAGAACATTGGCTGTTTGCTATGTATCGCCAACATTGTATCTCCTCCCCCCCATCCCCCCTCCGCAGTGCGTGCTGGCGTGTCTGCGCGACTCGCACCGCAGTCGGACCATGTTTCGCCGCGTCGGAGGCTTTGTCTACGTCATGGCCGTGCTCGTATCGCTGGAGGGATGTATGGCAGAGACGCCGGAGCCGCCCTGGGACTCTGTGCCGCGCCAGACCATGCTGAGTCTGGTGCACGGAGCGTTCAACACACTGACAATGGCCATGAGATATGAGCCGGCCAACGCTAAGTTCTTCCAACTGGAGGTAGGTGCAGAGTGGGGCAGTGTTTGTGACGGATTTTTTTTTTTGTCAGGATGAAGGTAAATGCGGGATAGCTGAGGAACGATGAATCAATACCGTGCATTGTAACGTGCTATTGAATCTTTTCAGCGAGACATTTGAAAGTGTTACTAAGCCTCGCGCTGAAGTTGTGTTTTGTACACCGAACTGTATACACTTATACTCTTGGTGCAATGTGTCTGAAGGTTCGATTGTCGCATCTTAATATCCACCGTCTGGTTTCCTTTCTCAGAGAAAGGCAGTCTCCTGCACTGCCATTGTATTCCTCCCGATTTATCGTACCTGACTCCGCCCCTGACGAATCATTCTGCCTTTCTATCCGCGGTTGTCTCCATCTATACCTCCCCCTCTTTTCTGACGCCTGACTCCGCCTTTGCTGACTGCTATCCTCCCTTTTTCATGCCTGGCACCGCCTCTGCCATGACCCTTTCACTGACCTTTGCCCGCCCTCTCAGATCTGCAGTACCAGCCTCCTTGACACGGTGCGCCTCCTGGGCTGTTTCGGAGGCGGCTATCAACTGGCCCCCATCGATTTCTCCTATGAACACACCGAGGAGCACACCTTCCAGAGTATCTTCGCGTCTGACGTCACTTCCGGCAGGTAGGGGATGTGACGTCATTGATGACGTGTTGATAACGAAGAACAGATGTGACGTATGAAGTAGTTAGCTTATTTGGAGTCTGATGTTTTTACTAGCTACCCATATCCTAAGTGGCGGATGGTCAGAGTGTAGTTCTGAAGTGATAACATTCAAGCACCTTTTGAGGTGGATGATGTGTTAGTTACTTATCTATAATTGTGAGATTGCCAATGTGACTGTTGTAACACTTGATATTACAGAATATGTCTTGTAATGAGAACTTAATATAGGTAGTTTTGTGCATGTGAAGTGAGTTACAACGCAGCTTTCATAAACCACACATGTGGCGCAACAGTCCAGCCCGTAATACGCCGCTGTCTACCCTCAGCCTGCCGCCAAACGTACCCATCAGTCTGAGCTACGCCTGCCTGACACTGCGACTTCTCTACGATATGGCGCTGGACAGCTTCGACAAGCCGGCCATGGCGGCAGCCGTGTCCTCGGGAGGAGCGAGGCGGCAGGAGGAACAGCAGGTAAATGGGGAGGAAGGAGGAGAGAGGGGTGTAAGAGAAGCAACTACAGGTGATGACGGATTAGGAAGGGAGAGGAGCTGGTTGACGGGCAGAGGAAAATTAGCAAGTAATGGTGGAGCGAGGAGGGAGATAGTGGTAAATGTTTTTAAGCTGATCGACGAAACAGTAAAACGTAATGCGGCGTGAGAGAGGTGATCGTTTTTTTTTCATACACAGTGACAGCGTTTTTGGGTGGGGCATGATAAGAAACAACCGAATATAATGCAGCTGAATCACTCGTTCGTTCAGCCTTGCTTGGCACGTGAATCTTTTCGTGTTATTGACTGATACAATCTTGTTTGAACATTGATGAGGACAGTCCACATTCCGCACCCGTGCCTGATACGGGCGGACCGCCGCGCCGGTCGCAGCAGATCAGCGCCCTTGCCACTATCGCTTCTTCGGCGCAATCCTAATCGCTCTTGACCATCGTGTGTCCGTACCTTTCCCGCGTCTGCTGGCTTTAACGGTAACTCCGATGATACCCAGTCTCTTCCGCCTACCCCCAAATTCCATGCTTGAACGCCCTCTGAGGTCTTTGAAGCATAAACCCGTTTAACTCTAAACCCCCTGAATCCTCCGACTCCTAGAACCATCTGCGCTTAGAAGTCTGACCTCCCATGAATTATAATATAATTCATTAATATAATTCATTAATTCATTATTAATTCATTCATTAATATAATTCATTAATTCATTATTAATTCATTCATTAATATAATTCATTATTAATTCATTATTATTAAGTATGAACCGTCTGACCCCTCGAACTCCCCTAACCCCCGCCCGCAGGAGTCGGCCGGGACGGGGAAACGTCGAGCGCCTACCGGTCTGAACCTGTCCCCGCCGCCCCCGGAGCCGATGATAGTCCACGCCGGCGTGGTGGTGGAGCTGCTACACCTTTTGCCGGCCATCCACCACCCCCAGCAGCGGCAGATGGCGGTCACACTGCAGGTAGGAGCGAGCGGAGATGGCGAAAGGTGTACTGGTGGGAGGGAGGATGGGTAGCTTGAAACGTAGAATGTTAAGATGGGATTCGGTGACAGATTAAAATTTTTCCAGAGGTCGTTGGTCGATTCATGATAGTATTACATAGGTCGAGGTCGGCTGTACATGAGGTAATTGAAATCTGATGAACACTTTTGTCTCAGCTCCCGTAATGGTAAGACTTTCCCCGGCCATGGTCCCGGATGTATTTGTCTGATGCTAAAACATATTGCTGAAAGTTGCGCCTTGGATCTGACGTTCATATGCTAACAAGGGCTAACAATATTCATGTTAGAACTTTGACTATCAGCAGCGCGACTTGCCCGAAAACAACACGCCGCGACAATCCCCTTCCAACAGGTCTACCTGGCCGAGATCCTCAAGTCGCTGATGCGCAGTGAGCGGAATCAGCAGGTCATGTGTGACGCTGGCTTCCCGTGCGAGCTCCTCTCGACGTGTCGTCTGGCACTGGAGGATGAGAACCATTTGCTGCACCCGGCCATACAGTATATGCTGGAGAGACTGGCCGCGCAGACCCTGGAGCCCCGGGATCTCAGGTACGGGGGTTGGGGGGAGAGGATGTGGCGACTGGCGAGAGAGAATATGAGATGAGTCGGTTTGCTTGCGGGGGGAGGGGAAGACGAAGGTAGGTGTTTGATTATAGGAAGAAGAATAAGATGCAGGGGGAAGAGAAGAAGTGCAATGCGACAAAAGTATATGAGACAACGGCGATATTAGCCGATTTTTGTTTAATTGATAAGCACAAAGTCACTGAGCGAAAGTTTGCCGTTGAGTAACGTCATTTGATATATTTTCAAGGACACGTTCCTCCGAATATTTGAAGGCCTCTAGGAATAATTTTGTACTCCTTTTTCCTGACTAGCACGCGCTCACTTTTCAGATCGTTCCTGCGCCTGGGCAACCCGCTGATGTGTGCTCCCGTGGACGAGCCACCGACTCCCGACTCGGGCGGGCCCGTGTCGCTGACTCGAGTCAAAACACTCGTCTCCATGACAACGCCGCGCGACTGTCGACACGGAGGTACGACACGCTCGTTTCATGGCATTGAGTTGATGTTACATTTTATTTTAGGATGTTTGCTTTCGCCGTTTTTATTTTAAAATCGATTTTAGAGACATAGCCTGAAGAGCCTGAATGATAATTTTCTTTAGCGGAATGTCTTGTGTGCACTGCATTCTACTTGCCGTTTTGACCCCAGCAACCACGAAATGTGAAACATCAAAACCTTCACTTAACCTTTCACCCACCCTAAGCCTTTAACTCACGCCGACTTCCTTCAATAACCTCAGCGGGTGTGTCTTGTTTCAGGCGCGGCGATTCTGCCGCCGTTTGTGGAGTTTGACATGTCGGTAGAGGGGTTCGGCTGTCTGTTTCTGCCCTCGCTGGCGCCGCAGTGTCTCAGTGTCGGAGATACGTCAGTGCTGGGTGAGTACTCCCGAGGTTGAGGGGAGGGGTTGTTAGTGGTTTGTGAGATTGAAGGAAAGGGAAGGGAAGTAGTGTTTGTTTGTGTGACGGGATGCATTAGAGTTAGAACTTGAGGGCTGGTTTGTTGGGATCATGTTTGAAAGACGAAATCCATGTAAACAGGCGATGAATACAAACGATCGTTTTCGGTGTAGGTATTGCACAACGCTAGGTATGACGATTTCATATCGCAGTGGTCAACGAGAACCAATCAGTGACGCCGATTATAATGACGTCATACATTGAATTCGCTATGCTAATCATGTGAGGAAAATGCAAGCTTGTCTAAGTTCCATTAGTGAAGCAAAACTTTTATCGAATTTAGTATGCAGTCGATATCGTGGCTTAGGATAATATGAGCCCTATCAACGTCATGCTAACGTCTTCTCAGCATTGCACCAGAGTTGTGACTATTATATTCTCACCAGCACAGGATTTACTTCGATGCCACTTACTTCGCTGGGTTTGGACGAATTTGAGTTTCATTGAGACTGCGTTCATCATAATCAATAACCCCCAGTGATTCATCTAAGATATTCGAAGACGTATCGGTGTAACCGGGACAATGACGTCTAACAGCTTCTTGATACTGATTACTTATCTTCGGCTCTCGGCCACGCAGCTCGACAGTTGCCGTTCGCACGTCGAGGGCACAACATGGTCATGTCTGATGTCCCTGGCTGTGACACTTGCGAAGAGTGCCTTCAGACTTTACTAGCTGGTGAATTAGGTGAATCGCAATTGTCCGAGACAATAATCAAGAAGTCCTCCCCGGTGGTTGACCATTCAAAGTCACGCCAATATCTGAAGAAAAGGGACCAAGTGACATGACTGTATCCGGCTACCTGCCTTTAAGTTTACTAACTACATACGAGTATAATGTGCGGCAGCAGAAGCCGATGACTCCGGTAAAACAGTGTCTCTGGCGGTAAAGATAGGAGGCCGGGCGCCGATTGGCGGGCTGTGAATGTGACATAATGTGGTGCAATGCGACAGTTGCAGCGGGAGGTGGCGATCGTGGCGCGGGGCGGGTCTTGTGTGGGCACTGGGCAGTGCAGTCGCCAGTCGCTCATTCTTCCACCGGCGGGAGTTGAGCGGATAGTTGCGAGGCTCTATGATCTTTTTAAACTTTTAGAGTGCTCTGTGTGATCCCTTTTCAACAAGCTGATCGCTGATATACTTGGTGAGTGAGTCATGCATTTAAATACCACCATATCTGCAAGTCAAAAGGGCGTCTGCCGCTCCGATTGACGCCTTTTTTGACGTCCCGTTCGCTCGTCCTCCCGTCTCTATCCTGCAGGCGGTATCGGCACGGGCGACCGCGTGTTCCCGCCGGCCACTGGACTGACCTATTCGACATGGTTCAACGTGGAGCGTTATTCCAACTCGCGGGCCGACCCGCACTGCGTCCGGCTGCTGACACTGGTGAGAGGGGGCAGAGGGATAGGGAGGAAGAGAGGGAGGGAGTGGCGAGAGAGGTAGTGAGAGTATGAAGGGCTAACACCGTTTCATTTTATGCCATTTTTATTTCATTTCATTTCTCGAATCGGCTTTAGCACAAACTATATTTTCTTTAAAAAGAGACTGGAAAACATATCTTCGCAGATTCATTGGCACAGGCTTTTAGGTGTAAGATACCCGTGCGCTATTACCCATTCTGACACTCATTGGTTGTTCTCGTTCGATCTCACATCGTTGATTTGTTGATGCTCAACATCACTCTCCTCTGATTGGTCAGCTCCGCCACCTCAGCTCTATGATTCGTTGTTGGTTTCCGCCACACCCTTCTTATAGACCGTTCCTGCCACTGTTTGTCTTTTGACCGTTTACCTCTGCACCGTCTTCTGGTCAGGGGCGCCACTCTGCCCTATGATTGGCTGTTAATCCACACCATTCTCCTGTGATTGGTCAGCTCTGCCACCCTCACACCATGATTGGCCCTTTAACCCCCATTCTCTCCTGTGATTGGTCAGCTCCACCACCCTCGCCCTATTATTGGCCGTTTAACCCCCATTCTCTCCTGTGATTGGCCAGGTGCGCCACCCTCACCCTATGATTGGCCGTCTAACCCCCATTCTCTCCTGTGATTGGCCAGGTGCGCCACCCGCACGGCCGAGATCAGCAGCTGATTTGTCTGACCGTCGTCCTCTCGGCAAGAGACAAGGCGCTCATCATATCAACACGCGAGACGGAGATGCCGCATCATGGTATGTGACTGGGGGGGGGGGTGTTGATGCAGGGAGAGTGAGAGAGAAGAGAGGGCTGAAAGAAGACGCAATGGGTAGGTGCATCATGAGCGAGTGTTTATTCAATTCATCCTGATCTTCACTTCACTCTGTGTACATCGCGACGTCTGACTTACCACCACATTCATTAGACTATAGTTTTGACATCACTTAGCTTACGATTCGTATGTCAATGATTACACCATTCTAATTACTTCACTTACCATTATAATTTTCGGCCTGAGACGAGGTGTTAGAATCACTGATGTTAGTTGTCGGACTTTCGTCCCCGTCTTGAGTTGAGATGTTAGCTTCACAACGTTTCGGCCAGTCACTTCTCCGGCTGTCGTCAGGCCGGTTCTGTAGCCCTTAGAAGGACCTGGATGTTGGTGGCGTTGCGCTGTACGCGTCATACCTTTCGAAAGCTTCTATAGTCAGCTGGTACTAACTCCGGTTTTTCCGGTGATAGACCACCCGGTCCTAAGCGCTTCACTATCGAGGCAGACAACTTTGTGACGCTAGCTTTCCAACTCAAGACTGAGCCATAGTCCGACGACTAGCATCCGTCACTTCTGAATCACACCACCTCTACATTACGTCTACCCCCCCCCCCCCACAGGCGCGTACGACTGGGAGCCCGACTGTCGCGGCGACACCAGTCTGCGCGTCTGGTGCCCGGACCTGCTGGAGGAGAACCAGTGGCACCACCTGCTGGTGACTCTCAACCGAGCCGTGCTCAAACACTCTGCCTGCGCCGTCTACATAGACGGAAAACAGGTGGCCAATCAGAAGGTGAGACAGAGGGAAAGAGAGGCAATAGGAGACCGGAGAGGATTTGAGAATCTAATCACTGGCTGGTTTAGAATAGTTGAAGTAACAGCTGAGCGTTGTAGAGAAGCAAGTTATGAACAATAAGGCTAGGTTATGAATTGACGTAAAGGTGGCTAAACAAAAAATGCTGCTCTATCCTGGTTCTCGTCTATGACGGGAGAATGTGTATGTGATGCGGCTAGGCTTTGGAAATTAATATTTAGTCAAGGAAATTTTCCGATATAGGACCAATAAGCTTCATGGCTGCTTGCTATAACCAGCATTTGTACAAACCAACGTTGGCGGCCGAGTGCCGTAACTATGACGCCCTCAGTTATAGTCAGTAACTTTATTTATATTCTGTTCCTCGACAGCTCCACTACGTCAGTCAGAACCCGGGCGGCGGGGCAGCCAACCTGACCTCCAGCGCCGCCGTGTACGGGTTTATCGGCACCCCTCCGCAGTGGCGGCGACACTCCAAGCTGGTGTGGAAACAGGGCGCCTGTCTGCTGGTGGAGGAAGCCCTGCCGCCCGCCGTGGTGGGCACCGTGTACCGGCTCGGTCCCAACTACCTGGGCACGCTGCAGGCACCCTTCATCAACGGTATGGACGACGCTGTGGGTTTGTGTTTTTGGTTGAGTTTGCTGCATGTGCGTTTTTTTTTTTTTGCATGTGTATTTTTTTACGTACCAATCTGTCCTATGGACGCCGTGGATGAGTGGTGTAGGAGTGTTGAGTACAGTCAATATTTCTTGATTGTTTTGCTTCGATTTTTGCGCATTTTGTTCTAGCGAGTCCTTGTGCCTAATATCCGCCCATGTAATAGCCTTCTTGTGTTTGTGAGTATTTATTGGTCCATGTGTACGATAGAAACCAATATTTGTTTGGTGACACATAGCCTAAAATTGTTTTTACGTGCGGATTGCAGCATGCATGTTATCAATGTCGATAACCACACTCTGATCGCTAATCGCTATACCCGCCACACATGATTCTTCTATCCTGATCAAGTTATCAAGACGGCACTCACAACACTTGAGCCGCCGTCTGATTCGTCGCTATTCTATGTTGAGTCTGGCTGCCTGGGTTGTGACTGAAAACTCGGGCGTGTTACTATTTTGCTGTGAAACGATTGGCTCGTTTGGTTCGCGCCAGACTAGCGTGATTGGTGGGGGCTGTTTTAACGATTTAAATTGAATATTTAACTCCTAATGCTTGGTAATTTGGGACATCAAAATTACTGACAGGTAAATCATGTGAAGCTTGAATTGACGTTTAAATTGACCTCTTCACCGCCAGGGGAATGTTGCTCCGCTCTGATTCCCGAGGAGCGTGTTATGCTCGGTCTGAACGCAGTCGCCACCAGTCAGCTGACTCTCGCCAAGATCCGCAAGGTGTACAGCAAGGCGGACAACAGGAGCATCGCCAAGCAGGTGCGGTTGGTGCCTCGGCCAGGCTGGCTAGGAGCCAGGGGTTCATGTGGGGGTAACCACTTCAGGGTGCCGCGATTGGCAGTAGGGGTAATCAATAATCATGCTGTGTTGCCGGTCGCTCTATGAACTTGTAGATAAGGGTAGTGTCATGAGCTACGATACAGTTATGGTTTCATGACAATGCTATAATGCACCGAAGTGTCAGTTCTGTAACTTTATGCTGAATATGAATGTTTAAAGATCTAGCCAAACATTTGATTTCAAACTGAATCGTAAAACGAATAAAACCAGGGTGATCTGTGAAGCCAAACACGACTAAGGTATTCCCTAAGACTTACTGACCCTAACTGACCCCTCCCTAATTCTGCCCTCAGCTGGGCATGTCATCGCACGAGAACGCCACGCCGATCCGCATTCTACACAACGCCGGGGGGCACCTGAGCGGGCCGGCCCGAACTCTGGGCGGAGTGGTGATCGGGTGAGTGAGTGAGTGAGTGAGTGAGTGAGTGAGTGAGTGAGTGAGTGAGTGAGTGAGTGAGTGAGTGAGTGAGTGAGTGAGTGAGTGAGTGAGTGCTTGAGTGAGTGAGTGTGTGGGTGAGTGACAATAGCAACTTGTGATATAAACGTAGCCATGCTTTGACTACCGTTGGCTTGTTGGATGGAAGGAGCGCGTTAGAGCTGCTACTTCGGTACAATTACTTTACGCTCAAACGTTTTAGAAGCGACCTTATCAGCCACGTCCTGAGCACTTCGAACTTATGGCCCTCTTAGCGATGCACACAATGGAAGCTCTTCAAGGTAGTAACTCATCATTTCGTAACCGGCTAAGTATCACACCAAAAGCGCAGATCACGTTCATACACTTGAGTTTGCTGTCGCGGATATTCTGATGATGGCTCACCAGACTATGTAGATGGCGCATCAAGCACTTCTCCTCCACTAGGAACACCGAACTGGGACGGTATGTCGGCGTTGATGGCCGAGAAAATTTGGACCGACAGAACTAGACAGCTTTCGTTTCGTTTTGTGCTCTAAATAGATTCCATCTCTGAGTACTTTTTCGGGTGCAAAAGCTGTGTCTTGTGAACCAGCCGATAAAATTCATAAGTCTGTCTGCTGTAACATGATGGATGGCTTGAAGATGCTAACTAGTTTGCATCAAATTACAGTATGACAGTTTTATTCTTTCCATTACTGGCTTTGGCTTCAACGGGTCAAATAACTCACGATGACCTGTGATAGATCTGTTGATAAGGGTACTATTTACCTTGTCATTCAAGGTAAGTCAAGTGAAAGTTTTGCTTAGACTAGTTCCCCGCACAGTCGTGGCGCATTCATGACGCTTTCTGTTCATTAGGTTGATATGCAATATGCATCGCAACGTCTCGACAGGATACAATTTTACGAGCGCCTCTATCTGATTCAGCTCATACCCAGCTAATGCAAGCAGTGGCATACTAGTCTGATGATTCATAAACGTCTTGGGCTCAAGTTACAAGTTCAGCCATTCGTGCCTTTTGATTGTCTGATAGCCCATTACGGCTTTGAAGCCTCAGTTCTAGTGGCACACTTGGCGCTTAGGGCTAGGCTTGCTCACAGTACGATAGCATGACGTAGCTAAGTCACAGTACTTGTGCGCATTTCAAGCTCGAGGGGTGTTCAGCTGTGACTTACAGTTTATCTTCGTCCTTTTCTTGCAACATTGCGGCAACAGTGCTACCATTTTATGTCCCCTAGCTTGTTCTTGGTCCCTTTGAATAACCTGACCCGACCTGATGTATCTTCACCTTACCTGACCTGCTGTCAATATCAATCTGATACTTATCTGCTAGCAAAGTTCTTGCCTGATGAACCACTTACGTTACTCATCATAGAGGCGATGAAGCACCCCAGGCCACAGAGTTACATCAACTATCTCATAGCTATCTATCACCGCAACCCGGACTTAGGACGCCCAAAAGGCCACACATCATCATCATCGTCATCCTTATTTTTTATCGCCTTCCTTTCAGCTCTCTTGGATCCTGTAATTCTCTATTACTCCAACCCCTTCCTTTCTCATCCCCCCCCCCCTGAGCCCCCTTCTGACACTCTGTCTCCCCCTATTTCCGCAGATACCTGGGTGTGCGCGTGTTCTGCGCCCGACCAGTGGCACGTATGGTGGAGAATGTGGGCAGTACAAGTCTGGTGCTCGGACTGATCGCCATGGCAGCAGACGTGGAGGGGCTGTATGCCGGAGTCAAGGCGCTCACCTGTGTGGTCAAGACCAACAAAGCTGGTGAGTAGCGAGGGAAGAGGGAGGGAAGATTGAGGGAAGGAGATAGAGAGGACGAAAGGGAAATGGGAGAATAGGAGTACATGATCTTAGATTGAGCATGATTGGTTGGGTGGCTTTAGGCTGATTGTCCAGGCTTATGGTCCTCAAGGAAATACGAAGTGACAAAGGAGAGGACTGCGTGAAGTTCACAAAGGGTGTCTGGTAAGTGGAGTTGTTCGCTGTTCGGAAGAGTGATAAGTCTGCCGAGTCTCCGAGGGAAGGGCACGTATCTGGCGACAGGTGACGGGCCGTCCGCTCGATAGGCGCTCGCGGCTGGAGAGCGTGCCTGGTGGGGCGTGGCTGGTGCATTATAGATGACGCTACGGTGTGGAAAGTTAAGCTTTTTTGGGACGGTGTAGGGAGCTGTGACGCACAGTCGTGGAATGAAATTAACTTTTACTAAATGACCGTTCAATGGTTGATGCCTTAATGGTTGGTGGCCACGGTGGCATTGCCGTATATTGATCGTGATGCAAGAGCAATTTAAATTGGTGTTTTGACGCATTTTTGTGACATTACATATACCTATGTCGAAACCATCTGAACCCATGCATAGAAGTATGATAGGTATTCGTTGGACAGAGACATTCATGCCATAATAAAACAACTTAAAAAGCAACATAAATCCCTAGTCTGCTGACTCCTATAAAAGTACAAATGGTTGTAAGATGATGATGACCCAAATGATCAACACAATTATGCCTGATATCAGGTTTCTTTTACATAGTTATGCCTGAGACCTACAAAGTCATGGTTGTTCAATGCTACCAAACCTACTAAAAAAACATTTTTGTCGTTTGTCGACTCCTTCCTTTGCAGTCATGACCACTTAATCATTTTCATCATTCAAAAATAAAAAGATTGATAGGTATACCTCGCACAATTGTTACGCAATAGTAATCAGGTTTGTTTAGCCGGTTGAACTAGAATATAGGCCAGCCAGTGGCTTTTATTGATTTAAACTGGTTGAAACCGGCATTAAGAAATAAAAGGCAGTGTGTAGCTAACACCCATAGCAAACTAAACTAACGAGCTTAGGCAATGCCCGCCAAGTACCATGGCTTTTCTTTTCAAACAGATCCATCTCATTTACAGATAATCTGCAGTTAAAAAACCAAATCTTCGTTGACAGTAGTTAACAGATAATTGGTGTTTAGGCATGTGTATTTTGCAGGTGCCATTGTTGTGTGAGTTGGTAGGCACTGGTTGTTCCAGCTTTTTATGCTGCTTTAAACTGACATAGGCGAGTCCTCAGCCTTACATTTTTGGCTGAATAATTCCCACCTAATTTGACTAACAAATTATGTAGAGGGGAATTAGGTAATAATTAGGCAAATTAGGTAAGCAGTGTCATGACAGATGCATAAGTTGTTTTAAACAACATGCTGTCATCGTACTGACCATTTATCATTGCATGGGCTTAATCTTATAAACGCCGTGGAATGGATATGGCAGCACTGGCTGAAGTTCAGCTGCAGAAAACGGTCATCAAATGCAGCATGGTTTTCACGCATTTCAGTCCATCGTTTGTTGACGGTCCACAGAATTATTTCGCTGACTCGTATAACCGTTTGTCGGCACTGGTATCACTGTAAATGTTACCAAATGCCGTAAATAGAATAGTACGGCATTTTATGAGTTTGGACTCTGGGCCCTACCTTACCAAATGCCGTAAATGCGCATTCACGGCATTTGGTAATATTAATAACTATTCCACATTCACTTATTCATTCGTTCAGGCAACATTCACATTCATTCAGTTTTAGCATGCGAGCCAACTAGCATCGCATTTCAAAAATAGATTTTCAGTCATCTTTCGATTTTCTTCGCTGCAAGGGCTGCGAGTTTTGGTGTGTTTTGTTAAAGTCGAATTTCGATTCGTTGTGCTGTTATTGCGATAATATGCAATTTTCTGAGGGTGTACCGGCTTCACTGCATTCATGTAGTGACCATAAGAGAATGACACACTACAACTACAAATATGTTGAACAAGTTTTCTCATTTCACATGTTTTTTGTCCTTCCTTACATTTTACACTGTTTCCCTTTTTATTGTCGTATATTTTATGCGATTGCTTTTACTGCAACCCATGCTTGGACCTTATGGCGAAGTGAATAACAATGAGTGAGAAGGAATGGCCTCAGTTATATCATACGGATACCCACTGTTAAAAAGAAATCTAAAGAGAAAATGACATTCGGTCAGTCACAACTCTGTCTCGAACCTTTCATGTCTCTTGGCTGACACCATCAAGCAGGTCTAGCGTCCTGATTGCACCAGTTTGTCTTCGATAACAGCTACAAGAAGTGGTTTCCTCAATGCATGTGTGCAGAAGCGATGAGCTGCTTATATCATGCATACTAGCCCATTGCTTGATATTCAAGTGCCTTGCGATAGCCCGTTGATATATACACATATGTCACTTTCGTGTGCTGTCTCGAGTCAAACACTGGACCAATATTGACGACGCTGTGGGCATCGCTGATAACTCACGGTTCAGACGATGATGGTGATGACTATAACAACGTTTATTAAGGACCACTTTCCTATCATCAGTCGTTTTCAAGCACGTGGCTATTGCCTATTATTGGCTTTTATTTGCCCTTTGTCTCAAGCTTGGATGAAATTCGGGAATGATCAATACCGTGAGAGTCTGCAATGTCTTGTCTGATGCGCATCGTTCCACTCGATCGCTCTGGGCTGGTCTCGGGACCAATTTCGTCATAAATGACGTCATCTCTCCAATATCGCAGTCAACAAGTATTCGACAAACAGCCCCATCTGCCTGCTTTCACCGTGCACGCTAGGGTTTCAAACTTATCAGATCGGATTTATCGAGGGTACTTCGCGTGCACGTGGCAAACGTGTTCGGGCCGACTCGCGGGCCGCCCTGTGCCTACTCAGCGCAGGAGCGGCCGCCCAGACGTCCACCCTCGGCGCGGAAATATGGGCGACGCTGCTGGATATCGCCGGGCGCCGTGAGGTGGCACTGCAGTGGGTTCCCGCCCACTGCGGGATCGAGGGTGGACGCGTGGACGCACTGGCCAAACAAGCGGCCGCCCTGCCCCAGGACGCCCGCTCGCTGACACGGGCAGTCCCTCGGGCGACCATTCGTCAGTGGCGCGACAACTGGGCAGACTCCTTCTTCAAGACGATCTTCGGGAGTACTCTGCCGCTCCCCATCCCCGGAGAGGACCGAGAGGCCACCGTTTCGGTGCACCAGATAAGGGTGGGCCCCTGGGCCCGCTCGCTCCAATACCTGCACCGGATCGGCCGTCCCCCCTCCACGGCATGCATGCAGTGCCCCGACAAGCGGTTCCCCGGAGCCGGCCCTCGCTGGCGCCCGCCTGCGGCTAACGGGCAGCATTCACGTCGACCCGTCGCGGCTGCGGGACGCCGACCTGGTGGCTGCCTTGGTGGCCGGCTACCTGCGCCTTAGGGAGCCTCTTGGCTATGGTCCCCGTAAGGAAGGCCTAGGAGCAATAACAACAACAACAACAACAACGTATTAGGGCATTGGATACTAAAAACTGGAGATCCCTTTTTTAGTTTTTTTTTTTACATCATCTGCGGGAAAGCTCCAACTAATAACGAAGTGAACATGACTTTGGAGAGATCTTTTGATCGTTCATTTTTCTATGTTGGTATTCAATTTACCCCCGCATAAAGTACAAAATGCGGTTGTTTCGTTTTTTACGAAACAACCGCCTTTCTTGTAGTAGATTTTTTTTTTGTCGCTCATTCCCGCTCCTGTCGGAAATATGTTCCCCAGCTTCATTTATCCCCCTGGTCTTAATTTTTTCCTGGTCTAATTTGTTCCTTATTTTTTTCCTTATTTGTTGTCACCTCGCTACGATTACTCTATGGAACAAACATTGTCGGCTGTCTCTTTTATTCTGGATTCGGTTCCTTCAGTCACGGCCATCTAATAATTACTGCTCCCCATCACATTACCCTCTTATCGTCCTTGAGCCCGCCTTTCTCAACTTCAACCCCCCCCCCCAGTGCCTCACCCTCCCCCCTCCTCCCGCTGCAGTGCGCCTGGAGATGGACCGCTGTCACGGCTACCAGCTGCTGGCCATGCTGCTCAAGCAGAAGCGGTCGCTGCTCAACTCGCACATCCTGCACCTGGTGTTTGGACTGGTGGGGACGGTGGACGCCCGGAGAGAGACGGGAGCCATACCCAACGTGGCGGCCTTCACCGAGCTGCTCTGCGATCTCACCGTGAGTAAAGAGAAAGAGAGATGGAGGGAAGGTGAGAGATGAAGAAGACTTGGATGTTGGAAGGAGCGGGGTGTGAACGGAAGGGGTAAAGGGTGGTAATTTAAAAGGAGAACAGGGAAGATGTGTTTGTACTTCGGTAGTGTGTGCCTAGAATGTTCAATGAATGGCTGTTTTGGATGTTTGGTGTCCTAAAGCGTTTTTTTTTCACCGGCAAGTATGCCTCAAGAGTGTGGTAAACAAAAAAGCGCCATGTTCCCAAAGCCGTAGGAGGTGCCTCATTGCGTTACGCTCTCGTGTTGAATTTCCATCGCATAATCTCCCCGTCCTGTTAGTTTGTCACATGGCATACCCGCTTATGGTCACAGATTTGGAACGAAGCTCCGTGCGAGCTGAGCCGATCACTGTACGAGCATCTCCTGGAGCTGGTGACGGAGGCGACTGAGGCACGTGCCAACCTGGCCATCATTAGGGACATCAACATGACTACCAGGTGTGCTGGAGGGGAAGAGAACTTGTAGGAGGAAGGAGGAAAGTACAGTCAATGGAGGGGTGGGGGATTAGGAAGGGATCTAAGTTATGTTTGGATACGACATTCGTTTATATCTTAATACGGAATTTGATTTTGTTGTTTGCTTAGTTCAGCGTTTTGAAGATTAAGCGGGAAAGGTATTCCCCCTCGCCCACGGCCCAGCTGCTGCCATATTGCCACGCTGTGCACGCCTGATAGTGCAGCTGATATGTGGAACAGATGGCCTCTATCGCTCCACCATACTTTCCGTGGATGGAAAGCATCTGCGGTGTGGGCTGGGGGCTGAAGGGCTGAACTTTCCTCAATGAGGAAACATTTTCAACTGCGAAGCCAAGTAAATTTGTCCGTACTATAGTTCTTTTTTTAAGTTCGACCCTCACTGTAAACGTCTCTTTGAAGTTTGAACACAGCACGAGAATTGCTGGCTGAATTACCGAGAAAACTGGCTGGCGCACATTGATTTCACGGACGATCAAATTTATCAAAAATTATTTCTACCTGACATGTATTTTCCCTGACTGGCAGCTCGTATTTGCCTATGCTTACAAAACCACAGGGATAGACGACTTGCCAGGAATGATAACTGAACTTATCAGTAAATTGCAGGGCGTCTAACATAACGGTATATTATCGGCGTTTAACACTTATTTGGCAATTATTATTCATTACCTGTTCATTACTCCAATACTATGTGCGCTACCCAGTTCTCTCAGCAATTCAGCTAGTAGTTCTCGTGCTGTGTTCAAAGAGACGATTACAGTGAGGGTCGAACTAAAAAAAAAAACGAACTATAGCGTTGCGTTATGAACGAGAGTTCGTGATGAAACTTATAGTGAAAAAAAAAACACTATTCGTTATATTTTTCTATTGAAAAATCAGGCCGGAATTGTCGGAACAATTTTGCAAAATTTCCCTGAGATATATGCTAATGCTAATGCTATATTACAACTCTCCAAATTTATTGCAGAACCTTCGGTAGAAATATATTTATAATCACGCGTCATTGAACTATTTTCAAATTCTACCAGCCAGCGTATGTTGCAGAAGGAGCTGGTTCAAATCTGCTTTCGATAAGCAGATTTATGTCTACCAACCGACGCTATCAAAGCCGGAAGACGCCGTTGACCCCCCCCCCCCCCCCGCCTTACTGTGTGACGATGAGATCACTTGTGTACAGATACTCAGCTCAGTGGTACCTATCTGTAGGTAGTGTATAATTCATTTACACTAGAATCCGCTGAATAAATCTTCGACTGATAAGATTTATTGTTATATAGTAAATAAGTTGACCTTTTATCATGCATTTATTGTTATAACTATGCACCCTGGTCCTCGGAGCAATATTGCCGGCAAAGCGGGCAACGCCGGACTGTTTCGTTGGCATTGTAGCCTATGAATGAAGATTGGAGAGTGATCGGATGGATGTGTTGAAACGGTTATGGCTGACTGAGACAGCTTTGCATTGTGCGCTCGGGTCACTTTCATTTGAATAAATCAGGCGCAATCAGGCAGCGAGGAATGCTGCCTAATCAGGCAGCGAGGAATGCTACCTATCTGTTTGTATTGCAAGGGAAATGGAACGTGCAGCTGTGATAAAGACGACCCCGATTAATAAAGCCACCACTTAATAAATCCGAAACGCCGTGTCACCCAGCCCCCGTTCACGAGCTCCAGAATCCCTTTACCGTGACGTCACCGCGGCGGTAGAATCTCCCTTCAACCAAAGGCATGCATGCAAATTTCATCATCTTTCGAGCGAGCTGGAGAAAAAACAAGGATTATGTCATATGTGTCATCAAAAGTTGTACCAATGTAACAATGAGTTCGCCTCATTACGATAAATGGGACTGAAACTAAAAAACAGGACTATATCGAGCCGAAATCAGCAATTCAAATGACCCCTTCATTTGAACGTGAAGGATTTCCTCTGATGACGTCACCACGGCGCCTTTATTTCCATTGTGAACCAACCTGAGTAGTAAAGGAATCTTGGTGTCACCAATGTGGATTTATTAGGCGGATTCTACTGTAGATGTGTTTGTGTTCTCCCGTTCGTCCGTGTTTGGCCGTGTTTGTTTTCACGATCGTGTGATGTGTAAGTTTTCACTCACGTTCTTGGTCGTGTTTGTTTGTGTTTGTGCTCTGTATATACTTACGAGTAGCTGTGTGTTTTACACTCCTCCATGTTTGTGTTAGCTTTTGCCTTTCACTTTCACTCGTGCTTGTATTTGTTTTAACGTTCTCCCGTGTTTGTTTTCGCCGTCCTCCCCTGTTTGTTTTCACGTTCTGTACCTTGCGTCATTAAATGAAGGATCATAATGTTTTCACCATTTGTTCCTATATTTCACATATTAGAGGTAGTTTATTAATACCATCAGACGCACAACGAAATGGCAAAACTGAAAATACCCACCACTGCATCATTCGATGCCACACGAAGCATAGCAGCTCCTTAGAGGAGATGCTCAAGATGAGTTCCACCGCACTGCCTGGTCATTGGTAGCCTGACTTGCTGTGTTTCGTCGGCGAAAAGTTTCGTCCAGATTTTGTCCAAATGTAGGCCTCTACGCAAAACGACATCTCTTCATTGGTTTACATCGTAGAATACATGTTGGACCATTTTCAAGCGTTCCAAGATGTGCTCTATCACTTCATGGAATATTAAAATATTCGCACGTGGGGGACAAAAATGAGATTAAAATATTTGATGATCCTTCATTTAATGACACCCGGTATGTGTTTGTATCCCTGCTCACCAATGTTTCTCTGTCTGTTCCGCAGACTGTTACAGACACTGCGCGACTGTCCGCTGCCGCGTGCCACTCAGCTAGTGGTGCTCAAACTGCTCTCCGTGCTGCTCATGAACTCCCCGCGGCGCAGCGACGTGGTCATGTGAGTGAGGAAACGGCAGTGTAAATCAGTGCTTCAATGAAAAAGTGTGCCGATGATGCCGCTAATAATTAATTATTTTCATTTGTATAGTTTCCTAGTTATCATTATCAAGGCATAGGTTAGCTACCCCACCGCATTTAAATGTGATATAGCTAGCTGTTGAAAATCTGACGTGGCTGGTGTCACACCGTATAACGTTAATACGAATGGAATATCAAACCGATGAAAAGGATTCACGCCCGACTCTTAAATCATCACTGCTGGACTGGTAGAAAATTCATTCCACTAGGTGTGGGCAACAGACCATTCATTTCCATTCCTTTCATTCATCCCATTCCACCATCCATTTCCATTACCTCGCTCTAACCCCCTGTCCCCCCCCCCCACACTCCCAGTTTCGGCCAGTTTCTGGCCGGCTCTCTTCCCGCTCCGGGCGCTCCGGAGTCCGGACTGGAGCTGACCGGCCCGGAGGCGTCGGACGGCTCCCCGGAGACTGCGGCCGCCTGTCAGACAATCCTCCTGCGGAACAAGTGTCTGCAGATCGTGGCTAACGTGGCGGAGCAGGACGCCGTGGCCGACCCGGCGCGGCTGGACGAGTGGATGACCCTGCTGGGGTACGACTGGCTGCTGCTCTTCCTGCAGGTGAGGCGTCGTGACGTGACTTATTTTATTGAAGGAACATTGGCATTGATTCTGTGGCTGGTTGTTAAGTACTGACCAGCTTCTGGTCCTACCATGACATCAATGATCTGTGTGGCACATGCTGCCTGCCTGACACCCTTACGACTTCCACGACTCATGTTGCATAGCTATTCCTCTCACCTTTCTCACTTTTCTGAACTTAAGGGTTTCCTGACCTGCCTACTCGACTTTCGCCCCCATATGTATTAGAACACGCGTGACCCATTGTGACGCCTGACCTCGTGACCCTTGACCTCGTGACCGCTGACCTCGTGACCCGGTGACCTCCCCAGGGCCACCTGCACCAGACGACGGTCGTGTTGGCCACACAGCTCCTGTTCACGCTGCTGTGCTCGCCGCCGCTTCTGGCCCGGTTCAGGGAGGGCGGCTGTACGGGTGGCTGGGCTCAGCAGACGGAGAGCGTCATCAAGTCTCGGCTGGGGGCGGTGCTAGGTGAGAAATCGGGCCAGATTGGTGAGATGTGAGCTGAGGTGAGAGTCTGATATGTTTGGTGAGAATGTGAGCTTAGGCGAGAGTCTGACCAGATTGGTGAGATATAATTTTGTGTACTAGCATATTGTACTCTTAGTTCATATCCAGGCTAGAATGAAATGTTTCCTTGAGTATGCAAAGTTGCGTGAGAATCTTACGAAGTGGTTAAATGTAAGGTTAGATTATGATTTCATTTTTCGGTGAGATAATCATAACGTTTGGCGAAAATCGTACCGATTTGTTTCAGACTTTGTATTACTCAGTTAGATGACGTCGCCTATATTAAATGTTACAGTCCGATTACATTATGCTATTGGATACGAATTGTAAGCATGTGCCGCCAAACCCTCTGCTTAATCTTACAAGCTCTTTGATAATGCAGCAGCAGTGTTCGATAGTTGCTTGTTGAGTTCGACGTGGGTGGCAACTGGCAGGCTTGTTGAGGGAAGTTTCTGATGCTCGAGATAATTCAGATCTCCTTCGCACTTTTTTGTCGAAGTAGCTTCAAGCTGCCATATCCTCGATAAGATTGCGTATCATTCGTATCTTTTAAGAGTCCTACGAGTACATGCACACTTCGACAGACAGATGCAATATTCACTTTGTCATGATCATGCATAGCTGCTCATTGCTCATTGTATCGGTGCCTTTTCTGCCGTCCTCTCCCCCCACAATGTGTCCATCTTTCACCCCTTCTCTATCACCCTCTCCCCTCTCTCTCTCCCTCTCTCCCAGGCTACCACATGGGTGAGAGTATCTCCAGCCCCAGCGGCAGCGGCGGCGGAGCGGGCGCCGGCGCCGGACCCGGTCCCGGCCGGCAGGACACGGGAGCAGAGTCGGCACTTCAGGTCGGTGCGCTGGACATTAGACCCTTTATTGCTGGTCCTAATGGGTATTTTGTTCTTTCGAAGTCTTCGCTGCGGCCTCTGGAATTCTCAAATTTCTTTTTAGGTTATTCGATAAAAAACTTTAAGTGCCGAAGTATACAATAAAGCTACTTTTTATCGTAATGTAGTTTAGTATATGTATACTTGTTTTACATTTTAGTGGCACTTATAATCAGTGACCTTGTTTTAAAGGAAATAGTTCACTTTCACGAAATTATTTTTTTTGCAATGGATTTGTGATTTTTTATGTTCAAAATGATCAGCAAAGAAAATAAAACCTTTTTACAACAAAAAATTATTTTCTATATTTTTGATATAGGAAGAACTTTTCAGTTTCTGTAAGGCACACGCGATCCAGTATGAAAAGAGCATGGGTCCCGAAAATTCTTCAGAAACTAAGAAATTATCGCGGCCACCGGCATTTGGGCGATCTGCTCGTGCTTTTGTTACTGGAGCGCCTCACTGGAGCGAATTTCTCTAGAGTTCTCGTAGATAATTTCTCTAGTTTCTGAAGAATTTTCGGGACCCATGCTCGTTTCATACTGGATGCGAATATATGCAAGGCACACATCCTCAACGCAAGACACATTTTTCGGGACGAGAAATAGAATATCTTTGCCTAGGGTGATCGTTGGGCTGTAAAAGCTCCTGATTTATGCTCGTCTCAGCCCAAGCTACGGAACTGCTATTCCAGTTCAAAACCCATGTTAAAATGTGAACTATTTCCTTTAACAGCCCTAACAATCATTGCATGGTGTGATGGATGTTTTTTTTCCTTTCTAAAATTTGACCGATTTTCCCACAGTGTATATAAATACAGTGGCGGCAAATGCGCTTGGTCACGTGACCAAATCTGCACGTGCGGTTGTGGCGAGGGCACTTCCCGAAACTCTGGTGCCAACGGCCTCGCGGCGCCCATAGAGAATACATGGGACCTTTTCTTTTCAGACCTGTCGTGTCTGAACCAAGCCATTTAGTGCAAGGATACGACTGGTTTGAGATTCAGTAGTCTTTAAGCTGTAAGTCGGCATAAAAAAACGTATTTTTATCGGCAAAATTCGCAAAGTACCAGGTGGTTTTCCGATACCCTGCACGCCTCCTAACCCCCGGCGGCCGACCGGAGGAGTCAGTAGCGCTCCACTCACGACTTTTGGCGATAGCTCAAAACACCTTACAGCTAGAGGGCTGCTATTTAGCACACCTTATCTTTGCTTCCATACGCAGCTTTGGAAACCAATTGCATTTCCGTCTCTGGTCAGATCACTGACTTATGATGTCACACGTGAACGTCCTCTGCAATAGTCCCAAAATACCGAAACTTCGCAATGCCCTCGGTGCCAGAGGAGCTGTCACAGCGAGATGATACGTACAGGACCTAGTATCCTCTAGAAGTCTCAAAACTTGTTTATCTCGGATTTCTCCTAGAGGTCACATGAGGGCAGGCCGATCGCGTGACGTCACCATTACAAGTCAATGGGGAAAATATAGAAACTGTAATTTTGACGCCGAGAATGATCTAAACCTAGCTCAAGCACATGGAATCGCAATTTATGCAATTCTTGCAATGTCCAATGCTTCACTTTCGCATCTTTAACCTAGCGTGACGTCTTTCATGATGTCACAAAGGTCACAAGTTTGTTCGTCAATAACTCCTGATAAAATATTGAACTGGCATGAGTCGGGAAAGTCGCCAATAGACTCGGGAAGACCTAACGAATCGAATGATATACCATATAACCTCCGACCAACTTCGTGACCTGAGTGCCTCTGACCTGGCTTTGACCCGATGTGAAAACCTTATGTTGACCCCACCCAAACAAAAGTGCATCATTTGACGCACCGGAGCATGACAAACATGATGGTACTAAAATCGCGACGCTGCGCCGTTTTTTGGCGAAGTTATTTCTCAAAACCCGAAATCGTATTTTGGCCCTCGGGGCACTTGACCTGACCCTCAGAGGGCACCAGTTGACTTGAGACTTTTGAACCGTGCATCAATCGCTGCTTCCCCGGTCCCGTAACGGCACACATGCTTGTTTTTCCCGTGAGGCTAGCTCAATTAGGGCGAGGGAGTCGTACACGCCCACTCTCGCGGCCGGGGCGTAGGTATGTAAAAAAAAAACTTAGAAGTCTGGTGATGATTGATGCAAGATTCTTACAGATAATGGTAGATGAAGGTAGGGCATAAGTTATTAAAGATAAGTGAAATAAATTTGCAGCCCTCAGTAGCCTTGATTTGTGCATTAAGAGTTATAGAAGTTAGAACAACTGTAAGCTGCAGGCTCAGCTCTTCAGATTCTACCTATGCCTGCAAACACAATAAAATCAATGGAAGAGTAATAATAGATTAGTTGTATTTTATTGATGCTATCATAGGCGTCGCCAGAGATTTTCGGTTGGGGGGGGGGGGGGGCAAAATCAACTTTTGTGTCAAATCTTGCCTTTCCCCAGTCGTTTCTCACTCGTTTTACATATTATTTGATGCGCAATGGTGCGAGGAATCCGATGGTGACAAAGTTTTCCTTCTAGCAATGATATGTAATTTTTGCAGAAAAATTCTAAATTTAAAATTTCTGAAAAAACGGCCGGTAGAATAACAGTAGCTGCAATTGCCGACGCACTGCAGAGGGCCCCTGTGCAGACGTTCGTCGCTCATGATCATCACCCAGAAAAAAGGTGAAAAAAACGCTCCATTTAATTGGATCACCCTGCTAAAACCTCCATTCACGCATGCATACAGAGGTTTTACGTGAAATGCATAGGGCTTACCCAGCCGCCGATAGTAGCTAAGTTGGGCATTCGGCGGAGAGTGAATGTCGGAAGCGTGAATCGGAAGTAATTCATCTTTGCTCCAGTGAGATGAAGTGTTTTGTTCACTCGAGTGAGAACAAAAAGTTTCTCGTTTTTCCTGTGAAGGGAAACGCCGCAAACGCGTACAAAAAAAAAATGTTTAACGGAACTAAAAGTTACGCGCGGCATAGCGGCAACGGATCACTTACAGGCATAGGCTTGGGACATACAGGCCATTTCAGGCCACTCAGGGTCAGTGTGGACTCTCAGAGGCCTGATTAGAATCCCGGAGATCGGCGTGGGTCACCCCAAATATTTACGTGTATGTGGTGCTTTAGGGCTTTCCGAGCCCAATGTGGGGCCCTCAGATGCCAGTGTGAGTTGCGGGCGCTAAGAGACTAGGTCCAGGGTAATCCTGGAGCCCTCGGATAACAGTGTGAACCATAGGGGTCTGTGTCTCGAATCCCTAAGGACACCAGTAGGACTCTCAGAGGTCGGTTTGGGCCCTCTGAAAGCTTCTTAGAGCTCAGTGGAGCTCCTTAGGAGCCTGTGTGAAGGTGAAAAGCAAGCTCGCTCATGAGCCCCGCGGCACTTGAACGGTACTTGAGCCTGTCGCAGACATTTGACGAGAGTTGAGAAAGGCCCCGAAGATCTCGTATCACGCTTTATTATTTTATGTGTCAGCAAAAATTATGTCAGCGAAAATTATGTGTCAGCACTCCAAAACTTCAGCTCTAAAATGTGATATCGAACCAACTAGGAACAGGGAATGAATCACAGCATTGATATTTCGAGTCTGGAGTCGCTTCACTTGAAGATTTTGGCGACTGCGACTCAGACTCTGGTTTGAACTGCACGCTCCAACCGAGTCTGACCTCACAGGCATTCTCAGAAAGGTACCCCCATTTTTCCCGACTCCAAAATTACATCGGATCTGCATCGATCTCAGGGGGTGCCCGGTCCGAGGTTGGGGGGGGGGGCAAGCTGCCCCGCTTGCCCCCCCGTGGCGACGCTAATGGATGCTATTCAAGTTTCAATGGTAACTATGTCACCGATGATTCAATATTATTTGCACAGCATCATTTACCACCACACGCCTAAATATTTAGCATCTAAAATAATGCAGTAAAATAAGCTGCGCCACGTGTGTCGACAAAATCTGGTGCCAACTCAAGGTCAAACGGAAAATGTGGTCACGTGACCAATGTCCGGCAGCTGGATTTTCCGTTCAAATTTCATTCTCGGGGACCAGCGGTACCGACGCTGACAATGTCACGTTCCAGGTGCCGGGCTTCCAGCAGCTCAGCTGGCTGCTGCCCAAACACACCGAGCTGGCCGAAATCAGCTTCATGCTGCTGCAGCTGCTGCTGGGGCAGCCGGTGCGCGCGCCTCCGCCTCATACACTGGTGAGTGGGCGCCTCCGTGTGGACGTCTCAACCCCATACCCTGATAAGTGCGCACCACCGCCTCACACACTGGTGAGTGGGCGCCTCCGCCCCATACTTTGGTGAGTGGGCGCCTCCGCCTCATACTTTGGTGAGTGGGCGCCTCCGCCTTATACCTTGGTGAGTGGACTTCTCTCCGCCGCAATGAGGCGGTACCCTAGTGAGTGGTTTTGGTGTGTTTTGCCGGAGTATAACGTACAAAACAGCGCGTAAGAACTTCATATGTGGATGCTGGTTTGAAAAGAAGTGAACATAACTTTTTGGTGTTGGGCTATTGTTTCGTATTTTATCAATGAAAAAGTAGGTGAGTGGCTTTGAGAGGGTCAATTGCCAAATGCCAATGTACCTAAATTTGATTCTGTTTTCGCAGGAGTTTCCGAATTTTGACCATCATCCATATGAATCCTTTTTTACGGAATCTTTGTTTCTAATCAAGGGAAGAGTTTCCCTGAAACATCAGCTAATGTGGTGTTTAAACACTTTTCATCGATTCGAAACAACTGTGCTTCTTCGCGTTTCCTATTTTGGATTAACGAAATTACTAACTGAAGTTGGTAATAGTGTAGTCCATTACACCAGCAGGTCTATTGACACGGAAGTTTTCGGCGCTCCAATCGCTAATCATTGGCATGGAACGGGTGATGTGTGTGTTTGCCTCGTACCTTTGCTCTGACTCGGGTTTGCTTTCGTCACTTTCCTTTCAACACCTGTAAGCATTGGGTGCCCGTTGTTAAGGATGTGGGCTTAATGAAGTCATGCTTGTACGGTACACATTAGGTCACTGTGAGGACAGCTCATGCAAAGCCGAACCAGCTCATGAAGGCTTTGATTGCTCGCTGCGCCACGGTTTGACCGCTAAATCGCACTCTAAATCATCTACTGTAAAAGGCACACTGGTGGCACACTGGTAAAAGGCACTGTGGTTCGGTTCTTGCCGATTCTGCTTTGAAATTGTTGTATTAACGTCATTATTGTGATAAATTACGATGGTATTGATCGTGGTATGATCAAAACCAAACCATGTCACCTGATTTTTCTGATCGTGTCATGGCTTCTCGCGACTTTCACTATCACATTGATTCAGCAGCTGGTGGGCTTAACCTGGACAACGCTCAAACGCTGATCCTTTGTGACCTTGTGACCGTACTGATGACACTTCTGTTCTGACCCCACCAGTGTTGCCTTGGACTTTTTTGACCCTGTCATTGTGACCCTGACCCAGCCCCTTTCGTCAAACCTCTTTGACTTTTGTAAGTCCATTAGTAACCCCACTGACCTCTCTGACCCTTTGGTGACCTGTCTGACCTCTGTGACCTCATCACTGACCCAATGGACCCCTGACCCTTGGCTAACACCTCCCATGTCCGAGCAGCTGACCCTGGATACGATCTGGCTGTACGTGTGCGGAATCGACCCGGCCTCCGGGGGCAGGCTGCCCAGTCGACTGTGTGTCATCCCCGAGGCTCTTACTTGTCTTCTGGAGATGGTCCGTGCTCACCTCAACTACGAAAGGTGAGAAATCGGTGGTGAATGTGTGTATGTGGTGAACGGTGCTGGGAGTTGATTACTGAAGTGGTGGATGAGATGATAAACGACACATACTTTTTGTGGTTTATTGAGCACACAGCAAACGTTTTTTTTTTTTCACAGTTACGCACCAACATTCAGCGACTAAGCAACATTGATGTTTTGACAACAGACAATGCGCTGTCAGTGCGTGAATGGGACTATAAGCGTGAATGACAATCATGTTATCACAAAAGCGATATTTATGACATCTCTATAGGCTCTAACAAGCTTTCCTCATGCCTAGCCCTTACTGAACCCTTTTAAACCCATTCGAACGGCTGAGACCAAATTTAGTAAAAAAAAGAAAACACCTTAGTTTTACCATACCTAAGTACCTTACCGGCCTACCCTACCCTTACTCTGCCCCAACCGTTTCCTACGCTACTCGTACTCTACTCTACCCATACCCTCTAGAAGCATGTGACTCAAGCGTAACGACACTAAGCATGATTAATGATTACCATGGAACGACATGAACAACATATGGACAAAGCAGCACTGAACGTTTCACTCCACTGATTTATACCTACTGGTTAATACTGATGTTGCCAGTAAATTTTGCAGTTAATGCGAACTTGATGTTGTTTTACATGCAAAGGGATCTGCGCTATAACTCAGATTCCTTCTCAAACCTCTGTGCGTATTGCGGATCACGCGCCAGCTTTTGAATGCGCGGATCCTTCGGCCGATCCATCCGATAGCTGGCGGATAACTTGTACCGCTCGTCTGGTGGACAGAAGAGCCTGTCTACGTTGCCCCCTTCACGATATTCACTATCAAATGGTACGAGTTGTGGTGGTTTTGGTGGCGGGTGGGGCACGGTGACGTAGTGACGCGTGCCTCCGTAATCGCCGTGACCATGTTCTGACCCGCCGCCTGCTCCTTCTTGATCATAAGGCAGGAGACAGGGGCTGCGGGAGCCCTTCTCCAACTGTTCCGGCCCACGACTGGTGTATGTCGAGACAGGCCCGGCACTGGTTGGGCGGTCTATAACATCCTCCATGTCTTGGTGAGACGTGTCGCCAGTCGTATTTCCGGTGTCGTGAGTCATTTCGTGGCCGGGCTCAGACATTCCGTATGACTCCGTCGGTGAATGTGGCGGCTGGAACTTTTGGGACTTTTGGCGGACTCCTTCCGACTTCTTTTCCGGTTTTGTTCCACGACTGGTGTGTGTCTCGGCGGTTCCGGCGCTGTTCGTACTGTCTGGGGCGCCCTGATCGGCCGGCTGGTGGGACGCGGTGTCGACTGACCCGGGTACGTAGTTCTGGATCGGTGCGCTGATCGTGGGTCGTGAGTCCGGTCCATGAGTCCGCTGATCGTCAGAGGGGTGCAGCGGGACAGTAGGGAATTGGACTTGGTGGGGGTCGGTGTGTTGACCGTCAGAGGGATCCAGTAGGGCGTGCTGGGAGGACTCGCTCGTTTGTCGATCCCCGGCGGGGACTCGTGACCAAAGAGCTACATCTCCTATACCTGAGTGGCGTGTTGTTCGCCTACGTCGGCCTCCATTTTGTCCTTCAGCACGCGACCGTTGTCTGAAATGACGTCGAACGAAAAATGCGGTGACGGCTAGCGCAATCAGGACCGCGGGAATGATAATAGCGACTAGGATCTCATTATGGGTGAAGCCGGTGCGGACCTGGTCCGAGCCATCGCCGGACGTCTGGTCCCTGGTCTCGGGGATCGTTTGTGGGTCCTGTTCACTTGATTCACCGGCTGTCTGAGGCGGCAGTGGCGGCTTGCCTCGCAGTGGCGGCCTACCTCCTCTGTGCAGGTTGGCGTCGGTAGTAGACGGCAGTGGCGGCCTGCTTCCGCTGAGCAGGTTGGTCGGATTAGTGGGCGGCGGGATGGTGATGGGTTTAGGACAGAACTTCTGCAGGTAGTGGCCCAGTATCGGTCGAAAACCATTGATCACGCAGAGAGGCTGGTGTATCCAGAACTCGTTCTCAGAAGCTACATCTAGTCCCAGAGCTGTCGCTATGTCGCACGTACAGGGAATGTCCAATGTCAGGTCATGCATTGTTATCTTCTGGGTCTGGTCGAACTGCAGCGAATCGTTCTGTGGATGTTTGATGTGGAGATTGTCCAACAGAATCCGGTTGCGACCTGTGCTGTTTTCTTGCATCACACTTACCGACCTGAAGGCTCCCTTTTTCAGAACATCGATTGTGCAGTTTCTGATTGTGATATCGTTGTCTGCACGCACCACTAATGCTTCCTCTGACGCTTCAGCGATAGCGCTGTACTCAATGGAGAACTTGGTAACATTCAGCTGCAGTCCTCCCTTTGCTATTGTTCCGAATGTGTTGTTCTTGATTTTAACAGTCCCAACGGTCCCACAGATGCCCGATGTTTCGATTTCGTCAAATTCGCTGTTTTCTAGAATAAGCGAAGTCATCCATTTGCAAGCTGAAATGCAGTGTTTTCTGGTTCGTTTGATATGCGACGAGCTCAGGGATAAAGATCCAATCATGTCCCCGAATGTGTTTTCACCACACGTTTCCATTCCAACGTCTTTTACTTTCAGCTCAACAATGTCTGCCTCAATGCCATCCGGCTCAATGTTGAGATACCTAACTTTTTCCAGCCTGGCCTCCGTCATTCTCGAGTTTCTGGACAGTGCACCTGAGTATATTGTGAGGTTTTCGATGTCTTCGATCCATGTCTTGTGCACTGTGACATTTGACGTGAATGCTTGCGTTGATATCGAAAGTGATTTAATACCCATCATGTCAATTTTATCTATCAGAGAATCATCGCTGAAGGCGCTTTCATGAAAAGCCAGTGATCGTATTCCGCTCAATGTCAAGCCGCGAAACTGTGTGCTAGCAGCGGAAAACGGTAACAGCTGGCAGTCATCCACGTCCGTTATGGTGATTCTGGAGCCTCCTCGCCAGTCTTGGAATGTCTTGGAATGCAGCCGAAGGTCCTTCACTGCGCGTATTCTCACGGTGATCCGTTCGGAGATGCCGCCGCGCGCCAGAGAGTTGTTCAGGAGGATCAAGGTGTTGACGTTGGTGATCTCGATTTCCTCCAGGAATTCCAGAGAGGAGATGGAGTCCTCACCGATCGATATGATCTCGGCATTGGATATTTTGATTTCTCGCACACCTCTCGGGAACGATGCTGCTGTGATGTCTATCTGGAACAGAAACATGAACACTGCCATCATCATCATCATCATCATCATCATCATCATCATCATCATCATCATCAGCCATCATCATCATCATCAGCCATCATCATCATCATCAGCCATCATCATCATCATCATCATCATCATCATCATCATCATCATCATCATCATCATCATCATCATCATCATCAGCCATCAGGTCAGCCATCGGCATCAGTCATCAATCATCAACATAAATCATCATCAGCCATCAACATCAACCATCATCATCAGCATCAGCCATCAGCATCAGCATCAACAGCTTCAATCATCAGCATCAATCATCATCATGAGCATCCATCATCAACATCAATCATCAGCATCAGCACCAATTATCAGCATCATCATCAATCAACAGCATCAATCATCGTCATCAGCATCAATCATCATCAACATCAGCCATCATCAGCATCAATCATCAGCAACAGCATCAATCATCAGCATCAGCATTAAGCATCCAAATCAATCATCAGTATCAATCATCATCAATCAATCGATAATCATCACTCATCGTCATCTCTACCTGCCTCACCTGTTTCATTGGCCAGTTTTTCATGTTGCAAATTACTGACTCGGATTTGTGACATTCATCATCATCATCAGCATCAATCATTAGCATCAGCATCAATCATCACCAATCATCATCAATCATCATCCTCAACATCAATCATCAGCATCAATCATCAGCATCAGCATCAGCATCAACAGCATCAATCATCACCATACACATCCATCATCATCATCAATCATCATCCTCAGCATCAACTATCAGCATCAGCACCAATCATCAGCATCATCAGCATCAATCTTCAGCATCAATCATCAGCATCAACAGCATCAATCATCATCATCAGCATCAATCTTCAGCATCAATCATCAGCATCAACAGCATCAATCATCATCATCAGCATCAATAATCATCATCAATCAGCATCAGCCATCATCAGCATCAATCATCAGCATCAGCATCAATCATCAACATCAATCATCAGTATCAATCATCAGCATCAATCATCATCAATCAATTGATAATCATCGCTCATCGTCATATTTATCTGCTCCACTCACCTGTTTCAATGGCCGGTCTTTCATGCTGCAGATTACTGACTCGGAGTTCTGGCATTCTTCCCGTACAACAAACTCGCAGTTGGACTCTTTACAGTCGGTGGCAGAGACCACATGCCGGCCGACGGTCAATACAATCAGAAATGAAATCACTGAGGTGATAATTCCCATAATGGGTAGCAATATTGAGTTACGGACAAGGGTGGTACCGCGTTCATGTTACTGTAACAGTGGCACGGCGACGAATGACTTGCAGCGCCTGTTGCACAGAGATTGCTTATCAGTCCGTCGGGCTGTATCTTGTTTGCTTTCAGGGGCGATCCTGAGGTGGGCAGGGCATTAAAACAGAGGACGGAGCTCAGGACAGGATAGGACGGCCGGAGGTCACCCATCATCAGTTATTCAACCATCTCCAACGAACTTAGGGTCTGTACTGACCAGTGGCGCAGCCAGGGGGGGTCAGAGGGTCAGCTGACCCCCCCGAAATTTTTGTCAGGGGCCCGCTCGAGAGAGAGAGAGAGAGAGAGAGAGAGAGAGAGAGAGAGAGAGAGAGAGAGAGAGAGAGAGAGAGAGAGAGAGAGAGAGAGAGAGAGAGAGAGAGAGAGAGAGAGAGAGAGAGAGAGAGAGAGAGAGAGAGAGAGAGAGAGAGGGAGAGAGAGAGAGAGAGAGAAAGAGAGAGAGAAGAGAGAGAGAGAAAGAGAGGAGA